GTTTTTTGGGTAAAGGCCTCAGTAAATTTACCTGCAGTCAGGTAGGATTTACCTCAGTAAATCCTACCTGACTGCAGCATAGGAGTGTGTTGGGAAAATTTGGATAAATCCTGTCTGAAAAACATTACTTCTGTGTGTTTTTTGCATTGTGGGATCAAATCCTGTACAAGAGTTACTGTTTAAAATGGCATTCATCCCCCGCTCCTTTCTCTCACCTTTAGCTGTGGGCTACAGTAGACAAGCCATTTAGTCCAAATTTACATTGTATACCTTCACAATGATTAAATAATCATTGTTGGAATTCACACAGTTTACCAGGAAGTATCTTGCTAGCCCATAGGCTTCATGTGCCCTGGTCACTTAGAATGTTTAGAGTCTAGATAAGGGTCTTGAGTTCATGCATAGTTTCTCAGTAGGTTGAATTTTCATGTCTAAGCAGACCTGGAAATGGGTTCAAGTTACTCAACTAAAATGTCGATACACTGCAATTTGAAATATTGAAATCTTATTGTCACTATATGATTGACTGACATTCCTTTATCTGTTCTGTATGTGATGACCTCAGAATCTTATTGTAGTCTCTGCATTCTGTCATCAATTACCCTGTTCCTGTGACATGACTGAGAGTGTATAAAAACTCTGTAGTTGTGTTGCAGCTTGGCAGCAGAGTTTACCTCTGCCTGCCCAGTAATGCATTATCATGAGAGTCTACTGCGGGAACCTGGGTAATACAGTAAAGCCTATATCAGGCATGTCCAAAGTCCGGCCCGGGGGCCAATTGCGGCCCATTTTCAAATGTTGAGCGGCCCACAGCCTCTTCTCCTTGCCGACTCAGCCTGTCACTCATCCCCGCCGGCCAGCATTTTTCCCTTCACCACAAAGCGGTTCCTGCAGCTGTCCCCTGCTGCCTCCTGCTCCTTCAAGGCTGGTGGTTATATTTCACCAGAAGATGGCAGTAGACCTGAGTGTGACCCGTGTGACCCTTGTGACACAAGGCTTGTGTGCCCATTTCTAAAATGGTGACTGTAACTAAAAAAAAGGAAAGTTGACAGCGAGGGCCTCCGCTTCCAGGACAAGTGGAAATTGGAGTATTTTTTCACTGAAATACGAAACAACTGTGTCTGCCTAATTTGCCAAGAGACTGTGGCTGTTTTCAAGGAATTCAATATCAAGAGGCACTACCAGACGAACCATGCTAACTACAACAAGCTAACTGGGAACGAACGCAGCAAAAAATGGAAGGAACTGGAAGCTGCTTTAACAGCACAGCAGCGCTTTTTCACAAGAGCCCGTGAGTCAAATGAAAATGCCACAAAGGCGAGCTACGAGGTGGCAACGCTGATTGCCAAGCACTGCAAACCTTTTACTGAGGGTGAATTTATTAAAGACTGCATGATGAAAATGGTGGAAAAAATTTGTCCTGAGAAGAAGCAAGAGTTTGCCAATGTTTGCCTGGCTCGTAACACTGTGGTACGGAGAACTGAAGACGTTTCATCTGATATTAAGAGACAGTTAGAGGCAAAAGGACTGGAGTTTGACTTTTTTTCGTTAGCCTGCGATGAAAGCACGGATGCATCTGACAACGCTCAGTTATTGATTTTTTTGAGAGGAGTGGACAATGACATGAACGTGACTGAAGAGCTACTCGGCCTCCAGAGCCTTAAAGACCAAACAAGAGGAACAGATTTATTTGTTTCTGTTTGTTCCGCCGTATATGACATGAAACTACCATGGAATAAAGTCACTGGGATTATTACGGACGGCGCACCTGCCATGGCTGGCGAGCCAAGTGGATTATCAACCCTAGTCTGTAACAAAGTCAGCGAAGAAGGAGGCAAAGCTATAAAACTCCACTGTATTATTCACCAACAAGTTCTCTGTGCCAAACATCTGAAATACGATCATGTTATGAAACCGGTGATGAAGGCTATTAATTATATTCGCTCCAAAGCCCGGTGCCACCGCCAGTTTCAACAGTTTCTACTCGACATCCAGGCCGAATATGGAGATGTTGTGTATCACAATGAGGTAGGATGCCTCAGTCGGGGGTCTGCACTACAGTGCTTCTACTCTCTTAGGGAGGAAATTGGACAATTCTTGGCAAAAAAGGGACAATCGATGCCAGAGCTATCTGATCCTGTTTGGCTGGCTGATTTTGGATTTTTAGCTGACATAACACGACTTCTCAGGGGGCGGCCAGGCATATATGGATGTAAGCGCTCCTTCAGGTAACCAGGACCCAAGCCGTTTAGGGCTTTATAGGTCATCACCAACACCTTGAATTGGGCCCGGACTTCAGTGGGAAGCCAGTGAAGCTGACAGAGGACTGGAGTCATGTGACCATAATGCCCAGTCCCTGTCAGCAGCCTGGCAGCTCTATTTTGAACCAACTGAAGTATCCGGACCGTCTTCAAGGGTAGCTCCACGTAGAGCGCGTTACAGAAGTCAAGACGGGAAGTCACCAGCACATGTGTCACTGTCGCGAGGCAGTCGTACTCCAGGTAGGGGCGCAGCTGATGAATCAGCCGAAGCTGGAGGAAAGTGCTCCTCGCCGCTGCTGTTACCTGAGCTTCCAGTGAAAGCTCCGGGTCGAGGAGCACTCCCAAGCTGCGGACCTTGTCCCTAAGAGGGAGTGCAACCCCGTTCAGGGCAAGGTTCAATTCACCCTCTCCGAAGCCCAATCCGCCAACCAACAGGACCTCCGTCTTGTCTGGATTGAGCTTCAGTTTATTGGCCCTCATCCAGCCCATTACCTCGGCCAGGCACCGGTTCAGTACAGCCACTGCCTCACCTGGATTGGTGGAAAACGAGAGGTAGAGCTGGGTATCATCAGCGTACTGATGATTCCGCAGCCCACACCTCCTGATGACCTCTCCCAGCGGTTTCATGTAGATGTTAAACAGCAAAGGGGACAAAATGGACCCCTGCGGTACTCCATGGCATAGCTGCCATGGTGCAGAGCCATAGTCCCCCAGCACCACCTTCTGGAACTGGCCGTTGAGATAGGAGCGGAACCACTGCAAAGCAGTGCCTCCGACCCCCAATCCCGCAAGCCTATCCAGAAGGATACCATGGTCGATGGTATCGAAAGCCGCTGAGAGGTCCAGAAGAACCAACAGGGACGCACTCCCCCTGTCCTTCTCCCTGCACAGGTCATCGTACAGGGCGACCAAGGCAGATTCAGTACCGTACCCGGGTCTGAAGCCAGACTGAAATGGGTCCAGATAATCAGTTTCATCCAAGAGTGCTTGGAGTTGTCCCGCCACCACCCGCTCTAACACCTTGCCCAGTGTAAATTCAAGCTGTTGAGAAACCGTTCATGAAATCATAATCTCAGCTGTTGCATTCTGTTAGTGGGAAAGCTTTGAACCTGAGTAAGGAATTTGTACACTTCTGATTGGCTATAACACAGAAAGCTCTCTGGACTAGCTAACTAGATATTTCTAGATAAACTGTAAATTCCTACAGGGATTATGCAGCAACATTGTAGCAGTGAGTTATTGTGTATTACTGGTGTTGGACTGAATAGAAATTCTTCCTGTCTGCTTTGGCTTATAGCTAGAGGGAAAGAGAGGAGTGAGGGGAAGGGAAGGGGTTCCAGCAGTTTCTGCTGACTTCTCAAAATGGATACCTGGTTCACACCGCGCTCATCCCACACAATACACCAGACATCATTCCAATTTCAAACTTGAATATGATTTATTTGGACCTCTTTTCCAACAGCCCCAAGGGTTGTTTGTACAGCCATTTTCTGTATCTCACCATAAATGGCCTTGTTGTAGCTGAGGGCCTGCTTACAAGGGCAGATGTTAAAGAAAAACCAAAGGGTAACTACACACCCTTCACATGTCCTGAAAAGCACTGGCTTGGCTACACTTGAGCCAATGCTTACAAGAAAAGTCTGAATAGTGTATCTCTAGTGAACTAGGTTGCCACTGATGACAAGCAAAAGTGTCACATAGTTCCCTGGAGATATTCATATTGGGTTTATGGTAGTTCATGTGTTTGTAAGTACAGGCATAACCCAGACATTCGTAACTCAGAGACTGTAAATGGAAAATGTGGTTTTGATTGGAAACTACAGTTTGAGTAAATAGATGTAAAGTATGCACTGAATTCTCTTAAAGTGACAATTGCAAACCACAAAATATGTTAAGGGCATAATTCCATGCAACTGTGCTATGAAAGTCTAAAATGAGTTCAAACACATATTAAATCTCTGATTTTCACAAAATACCTCATCATTTCTTGTTCTGCAATCTCACATTCCAGTTCCTTTAAAAATGTCACACTGGGGCCTGGGATATGTTCAGGGAGTTTCAAAAAATTCAGTGGCAGTTTTATTAATGTTCTCATGAGTAATGTCTTATTTGTGCATAATTAATCTTTGTCTTAAAGGCTGTTTGGCTGGTGTAAGGTGCTTAATGCAGGAGAGCAAATACACATTTGATGATGCACAGGTATATTTGCAGTTGATAGCCTCATTGGATCCACTTGCACAAAACTGCAGTATTTAATAGGCATGCGAGGCCTAGCATCTTGCACAGAGTCCAGTGATAGAGTTTCAGCAATTGTTTCCGTTTGGGAGGCTGCCTATAAGTTAGCACAGGAGCATCTACTATTACGTCTCTAAGAGTGTAAATCCTATAAGAACACACTACGTGCGGATGACCTTACTTGAGTTCCTATCGTTGTACGCAACGAATACAATATATCAGTGCCGCTAAGAAAGAGAGGCATTCCTGTCTTCACTCGTATTGCGTAGGATGGGGAAACGTCAGGACGACAAAATAACTCTTCAATCACAGCTACACTAAAATGCTGGCCTTGTGCACTGATTTCTAATAGAGCTTCCACTTCCGTCAAACAGAGAGAAAAAGAAATATTCTACAGAAATCGGAGTGCCACCTCTAATGAACTATAGAATGATTATTAGGTCTATGGAGCGCTGCTGCAAAGGGGGCGTGGCTTTGCAGAGACAGCGACGTGTCGCGCGACGCATGCGCGTATCGGAAGGGAGTTCTACGTTCTCTGTAGGTCACCTGAGTGCGATGTCTAAGGAGTGAGTGGCGGAGGGGCCTTAATGGGAAGTCTTGAGGGTGAAGCGGGGGGGATCGCGCCGATCGAAGGAGGAGGCCGTTGGGGGAGCTGGCATTTCGGATGTTGCGGGGGGTCCCTCACTCGAAGTGGGGGTGGCGCTAGAAGGAAGAGGGGCAAGGATGACATCTCTGAAAATCTGTTTGTGGGGGGCGAGGGAGACTCAGACGCTCAGAGATTACTGGGGGAGCCGTAGTCAGTTGCGTCGCCCCGTGATGCGTGTTACAGGAAGTCTCTGCAGGCTTGCTTTTGGGCAGTCTGGGGAGCAGGTCTACATAGCTTTTGTACAGCAGTTATCGCTGCAATCTAAGTTTAAAACTTATAGTCGCTTGTTTTAAAATGTTCATTTACTCTCTGACCTACACCAAAAACATGTACATAAAAGCGATAGGAATAAAAGTCACGTTTCAAAAACGCCTTTGTTTTGGAAGTAGAGGTGCTGGACGAGAGATTTACTATGAGCTGTGATATAAACAGGACCTGCTATGGTCATGTCTTTGAAATATTAACCTATATCAGCTTCCCCAATGCTGTCTTCCAGATGTCCCCATGCTGTAAGGGGATGATGAAAGTTGTAGACCAGAGCATCTGGAGGTCAGCGTTTCTCAGCACAGTGGCCTCCAGATGTGTCACACTGTAACTCCCATCATCCCACATGTTGTGACATAAATGCAGTCGTTTATGGTACTTAGGAAAATACCTCAACATAGCCAGCTAATGCATTGTCTTGGTCTCTGGATTTTAGCTGTCCCTGCTGAACAAGAAGTGTTTTGTTTTTGTTTGTTTTTGACATTTTTCTAGTTCTTGCTAATAAGGGCAAAAAATTCTTAATAGCACTTCACTTTAGAAAGAGTCATAGCTAGATATACAGCATTTTCTGAATTTGCTACATGTTCCTTGATATGATTTCCCCATCCTTTGGAGACCTGAGGTTTCTTCTTCCCCATATCATTGTTCTGCTGTGAAGAAAAGGAATGGTTATGTCATCCATTGAAATTACTCATTAGTCATGAGCAACCATTGTTCACAAGAGTCTCAGGATGACATCTGGTTTTAATTGCATTCTAGAACTTTCATTTACTCAGAAATGGGATTTAAGTGATTGAGGAGGTGTTGCTGATTCTGCTCCGTATTAACCCTAATGCACAGGATGAAGTAGAGTTGTGCCCTAAACAGAAACTAGATGGCTATCTATCAGGGATGTTATAGCTGCATCATGGATTGCAGAGCCTACATGGAGCAAGTGCATGGACTAGATTGGGGTACAATACCTCTTTTAGTCTGAAAGCTGAATTCCATGCAAAATAAACTCTTGGAGATCACATTCCTGGGGTGGGCAGAGTCAAAGGCAAAATGAACAGAGCCAAAATAAAACTTAAGCTTTTACTGTGTGGGACTAAGCCTTAGAAGAGGCGTTGCAGCCTTTTAGAAAAGGGAAAAATATTGTGTAAGTTCAGAAATGACCAACCAACTAGAGAAAGGGCATGTGGTCATCTGGGGATCCCACCCCTACAAGGTGGTGGATCAGGACCTGGGACCTGAGTGTCTTATCCCAGGGCTAGATTATCTTCAAAGACCCTTCCAGGTCTAGGATACTACAGTTAAGGCCCCATCTATAATCTGGACTTGGGAATTACACTGCACAAACACAAACTGTCATTGGACAGAATGCAGTGTCTTGCAAATGCTAGAATTTATTTTTGTATTTCATAGTGGCTCAGAAATGGGAACAACCCCTGATGCACTTATTTCCTCTTTCTGCATGGATAACTGTAAGAAGAACTATGCTAATTTGTAAGATATAACTTGACCTGATTATTTTTTCACAGTAGATTTCACACAACCTGGCTAAGGTTGCAGTTTTCCAGGAAATCCTGTTCACATAATTCATCTTCCACATGTTCTCTCTCCAAGGAAAGTAGAGATTCCAGCCCCACCAACATCAAAATGCATTCTTTATTGGAAAAGGAAGGTCAAGTCAGAATATATGCGCCTTAGGCAGCTCAAGAGACTTCAAGCAAACATGGGAGCCAAGGTAAGATGTACCTAACCATGGGCAAAAATATTACTTTTTAGTAGAACTTGCCTATCTTCAGTAGGGATCATCAGATGGTTTCTGAGTGAATAAAATCTCTTCCTTTTTTTTCTTCCAAATGCTAAGTAGCTTACACAATGTGTGAAAAAATTCTAGATGCTTCTTCCTCATTTCCACACCTCCCCCATCACTAGAACTCAGTGTGTCTAGTGACAATTTCTATTGCTTCCACAAGCTGTTAATATTCTTGGGCTATTACATATTCTGGTACCTTTTAACAGATTCATTTATTCATTTCTTATATTTGTATCCCACCTGTTATTCCTTTCAAGGAACTCAAGGTGGCTTACATAATCATTCTCTTCCTTTTAATCTTATCCTCACAGCAACAACCCTGTGAGATAGGTTAGGGTAAGAATCTGTGACTGACCCAAAGTGATCCAGTGAGCCCCATGGCTTAGCAGGGACCAGAGCCTAGCGTTCCCGGGTCCCTAATCCAGCACTTGGGAGACCACTGGCCATGACGGCTCTCATTATGTCATAAACGTATATGAAGCAAAGGACTGGAGTTCCCAGCATTTAATACCATAAGTTTTATATGCTGTTCTGAGAGTGGCTACTATAGAATGAATGAATGAATGAAATGCTTTTAGTCTTTAATGTGGTAGAAAATTCCCAGTAGCAATTATAGAGATGGCCTTAACTAATCCACCATATAAATAATACTAAGAAAGAAGAGAATATTGAAACACTGAATATTCTGATTTGAGGGAAAAATAGAACTTATCTTTAATGAATGTGGGTGCAAGGTGACCACCTTATTGATCAAGTAGATAGGGTGACATCTTTGCCTTGAAAGTGAAGAACTGGAAATGCAGTTAATATTATAGGCCATTTTGGAAGGTGGTGATCTTAAGATTGTTATCAGAGATGCAGACTTAAGGACACTTGCCTGCCTGCTGAGCTGGATATCCATGGAACACCTTTGAGATGGCAAAATATCTTTGGCTTCTTGGGAAGAGTCGTGATCCAATGTTTTCTCTTTCAATCTTTTTCTCTAGGCTTTGTTTGTATGTAACTACAAAAAGGTCCAAGAAAAGATAAACATCCTGAATGATGACTGGAAAAAGCTTAGAGTTCAACCGATTCAGTCAATGAAACTGGTTGGGGGACACCCTTTCCTCAAACAGGTATTACTAAAGAGGCAGCTATTGGCCTTTGTTGATGTGTCAGTGTTTTAGTGCTGCATTGTGCTATTAGACCCTCTTCGTCTCCTTCATCAGGGTTTGTACCTAAACCCTAGGAATGAGATATTTATTTTTTATTTAAAACATTTCTATGCCGCCCCATTCGCTGAAGCCTCGGGGCGGCTCACAACATAAAATATAATACATTAAAAATATGCCTAGAGTACCATTTTGTTCTGCTACGTTTTTGTTCTTTAATAAATTGAAGAAGGACCTGTGAAAAGCACAAAAGCACAATTGTGAGGCTTGCATCAATATACCAAATGCTAGCTCACTGGGAATCTCAACCTGTATTGTAGTATTGATAGCCCTTATAGGTGCAAAAATCATCCTCATGTAGATTAGGATAAAATGGTCTGTTGTTAGCTGTGAAGTCCCGTCCAACCCATTGCCACCCCATGGACAACAGTCCTCCAGGCCTTCCTGCCTTCAACCATCCCCTGGAGCCTCTTCAAAACCCTGCCTGTACTTCTGGTAGTTCTCGGTCCACACACTGCTGGAGCCTAGCATGTAGGATTTTGAGCATAACTTTGCTAGCATGTGAAATGAGTGCAGTGGTGCGGTAGTTTGAACATTCTTTAGCATTGCCCTTCTTTGGAATTGGAATGTAAACTGATCTTTTCCAATCATGCGGCCACTGTAGAATTTTCCAAATTTGCTGGCATATTGAGTATAGCACTTTTACTGCATCATCTTTTAGGATTTTGAATAGCTCAGCTGGAATACTGTCGCCTCCACTAGCTTTGTTGTTGCTCAGACTTCCTAAGGCCCATTTGACTTCACATTCCAGCATGTCTGGCTCAAGGTCAGTGACCAGCCCATCGTGGTTATCAGGGATGTTAAGTTCTTTCTTGCATAGTTCTTCTGTGTAATCCTGCCACCTCTTCTTAATTTCTTCTGCCTCTGTTCGGTCCCTGCCATTTTGGTCCTTTCTCATGCCCATCTTTGCATGAAACATTCCCTTCATATCTCCAATTTTCTTGAAGGGATCTCTGGTCCTCCCTATTCTATTGTTTTCTTCTATTTCTTTGCACTGTTCATTTTTAGAAGGCATTCTTATCTTTTCTAGCAATTGTCTGGAATTCTGCATTCAATTGGGTGTATCTTTCTCTTTCTCCCTTGCCTTTTGCTTCTTTTCTTTCCTCAGCTATTTGTAAAGCTTCCTCAGACAGCCAGTTTGCTTTCTTACATTTCTTTTTCTTTGGGATGGTTTTAGTTGCTACCTCTTGTACAATGTTGCGAACCTCCGTCCATAGTTCTTCAGGCACTCTGTCTATCAGATCTAATTCCTTAAGTCTATTTGTCACCTCTACTGTATATTCATCAGGAATATGATTTAGGTCATACCTGAGTGGCCTAGTGCTTTTCCCTATTTTCTTCAATTTAAGCCTAAATTTTGCAACAAGAAGCTCATGATCTGAGCCACTGTCAGCTCCTGGTCTAGTTTTTACTGACTATATAGAGCTTCTCCATCTTTGGCTGCAGAGCACATAGATTTCTGTGTTGACCGTCTGGTGATGTCCATGTGTAGAGTCATCTCTTGGGTTGTTGGAAAAGAGTGTTTGCTATGACCATCGTATTCTCTTGACAAAATTCCACCAGCCTGTGCCCTACTTCATTTTGTACTCCAAGGCCAAACTTGCCTGTTATTATGGTTATCTTTTGGCTTCCTGCTTTCCAATCTACCATGATGATAAGGACATCATTTTTGGTGTTAATTCTAGAAGGTGTTGTAGGCCTTCATAGAACTGGTCAACTTCAGCCTCTTCAACATCAGTGGTTGGGGCATAGACTTGGACTAGTGTGAAATTGAATGGTTTGCCTTGGATTCGAACTGAGATCATTCTGTCATTTTGGAGATTGTATCCCATTACTGCTTTTCCTACTCTTTTATTAACTATGAAGGCTACTCCATTTCTCCTGAGGGATTCTTGCCCACAGTAGTATACCTGATGTTCATCTGAATTATACCTGATGGTCATCTGAATTAAATTCACCCATTCCTGTCCATTTTAGTTCATTGATTCTTAAGATGTTGATGTTCAGTCTTGTCATCTCATGTTTGAACACATCCAGCTTGCCTTGATTCATGGATCTTACATTCCAGGTTCCTATGGAGTATAGATCTTTACAGCATCAGACTTTCCTTTCACCACCAGATACATCCACAACTGAGTGTCCTTTCAGCCTTGACCCAGTCGCTTCATTCTTTCTGGCGCTACTAGTACAAGCCCTCCGCTCTTCCCCAGTAGTATACTGGACACCTTCCGACCTGAGGGGCTCATCTTCCGGTGTCATATCTTTTTGCCTTTTGGTACTGTCCTTGGGGTTTTCATGGCAAAGATACTGGAGTGGGTTGCCATTTCCTTCTCCAGTGGATCACGTTTTGTCAGAGCTCTCTGCTATGACCTGTCCATCTTGGATGGCCCTGCACAGTATAGCTCATAGCTTCATTGAGCTACACAAGCCCCTTCGCCATGACAAGGCAGTGATCCATGAAGGGGAAAATGGTCTGTAATGAGTAGTAAAAGCATTTTTAAATCTAGCACTGGCTATTCCTACTGGCTAATACCCGCTTGCCTAAATGTACCCAGACTGTCTCTACAGTGATGAGTGTAAGGGAAGTTGTACACTCTTTTAACATCTCTTGGAAGCAGCAGAGTTGTGTTGCACACTGTAAAGCTAAAATCAGATTAGTGTTGCTTTTTAGGGCTTTCATACAGAAGGTGGATATTGTCACTGACATCCTTCTTTTCCTATTTTTGGTTTGGAGATCATTGCACACTCTGGGTAATATGGAAAGTGAATAATATGGATATACATGTGTTTTTTTCTCAGGATTTTGGCAAGCAATAGCACACATTGACATGAGGCAGAACTGTTGAGCCTCATGTCAACAGTTGGCCAAATCTGGCCTGCCTGGGGTCCCACTCTAGTTCTTTGGGGTTCCACAATTGGCCACGTCCCCCTTTTCCCAACTGTCCCTCCTAAGGCTTAGTGCCTGGCACTAATAGCTTGAATATACTGGCTTTTTTTTTTATCCCTGGTCCCTTTATCTTTGACCCTGTTCGCCACTGGATTGCAACTCTTGAGAGCATCTTCAAAATGCAGTTTGACTTTGTGGCTAAAAGAACCAGTACATTTATCTTCTGCCATGTGCACATCCTTCATTGCTGCAGCTTCTTTTCACTGCAGAAGTTGCATTAAATGTATACACAACCCCCTTTGCACTCTAAGCCTTTTTGTTAGAGACCTGAGTCTTTCTGGGATAGAGGTAATAAAAATATGTCCAAGGCCTGTGGATTAAGCAAAGCTTAATTTGAGTGAGTGCTTCTCCCTGGGATGATGGCCCAGGCTTGGAATCCTGCCAGTAATTCAGAAGAGTGCTTCTGGTTATGCTGAGTATCTTATCTCAACAGCTAGCTTACTGCAAGTGACCTTGGGTCAGCCACTGGCACTCAGCCAAAGATCTCACTGGATTGTTGTGAAGATAAAATGGAGAAGGAGGATCATGTAAGCCAGTTGCTTTGAGTTTGTTGAAGAAAAGGGGTGAGATATAAATACAGTAGATATTCCCTTGCATCACTCAGGTTAGGAACAAGAGCTTGCGATGCACTGGGCATTGCAGCAAGCCCAGTGTTTAAATACAGCAGCAGCACAGTATTGAGCAGCAGCTTGACAACAGATCAGGTCAGAGGGTATTTTAATAAAGCTGAGTGTAGAAGAGCAATCAGCTGGATCTTGCAGATCAATGTATTCAAGAATATAAACACATGATTAACTTCACATTACGGAGAAACGTGGTGCAAGGACTCTCACAATGATTTCTGTAGTTTGTCAGGTTTGTGTAAATGAAGGCAATTCTCCCAAATCGCTGGCTTTACAGGAAAGAACCAACACTATAAATCAGGTCTGGGAATGATGTCACTGTGGAGCTGGTACAATATTGGTATCATGTGATAGAATAAACTGTCTCCAGTCAGAAGTCCAACATCTCCTAGATGCAGTGGTTCTTGAGCATCCCCCTTCCAAAGGAAGTGGGAGAGGAAACAGCTGAGACCATTGCCGAAAGGGATCCTTCTCTGATCCCCCTGTATCTTAACTGATACATGTTACTGCTGTCCCATTGGAGAAGTGCAATATCAATGGGCATGATTAGTAGGAGTCCTTTTTGGGAGAACCAGCCTGTGTATCACTCCTTTCTTACATGCTGCAACTTTTCTGCTCACTGCAGTGCACAGTTGAGAGTGTTTTCCCCAGTTTGAGCACCCAGACCTTGTTTATGCGGACTCTGAACACCGTAGCCCTGGTGCCTATCATGTACTCCTGGTCTCCACTCCAGCAGAACTTCATGGTAGGTGACTGGCTACTTTTGTATGTAATCCCATTACAACGTTAATCACTTGAATATGAACTTTGTTTGAATTGGGAGCAAAATTTGCTTAGGTTTTTGTGCCTAGTTGGAGACAGGAGTCAAATTGCATACCTGCCCAGGTTTTTGAAGGATGCTTCTGGCTCATATTTTTATGGTCTTTCTGCAATATGTACATCTGAATCTGAAATAAGTGATATTTCCCCCCAGATCTGCATGTTTTTGATTGTGCTGTGGCAACTGGGCTGTCTTTTAGGGTGATCAGTTGGGGTTTGCTTGTCTGCCACAAAGCCTAAAGAGTGGATAGAGAGAATCTTTTCTGCCTCTCATATAACTTGGGGTCATCCAGTGAAATTGGACAGTAGATGTAGAACAGGCAAAAGAAAACATACATTTCATTATGTAATGCATAACTGATTTATGGAATTTCTGCCCTAGTATCTTGCACCAGGTTTTGTTGCCTTTGCACATTCAAGGCAACAGACTGTTTCTTTGCAGAAAGCTCTTTTTTCACCAAAGGATACCCAACGAACACAATCCTCATAGAAAGTATCTCTGTGCATTCACAGAGTGGTTTGTTGAACCCAGTCTAAACAACTGCTTCTGAAAGCCCTCATTTTGAATATGTCTGAACCTGATCCCTTCTGAAGGCCCCATTTAGAAGCAAGCCCACCGCTTTTCTATGCACCTGCCCTCTAGTTGGTGTTCCTTCCTTTCCCAGTGCCACATCATGGGGTGTTCGGAAAGGGGGTTGGCCCCAACGGCCTTCTGGCCCCTTCCAACTCTACTGTTCTGTGATTTTGTGATAGTCTACTACTTTGTTTCTCACAAGAGTTCATCTGATTCTAAGAACTCCTCTCTCATTCCCCCACCCAACACCTGTGAATCTTGGCTATTATCAGAGTCTGTCTGAGTGCTTGGGAAGAGTAGCCTTGAAATAAGTGGTGCTGCTGTCATCTCAAAGTCTTGAACCCTGTGGTCCCAAACTCCCTCTGCCTGCTCCCCTTCATCCTCTGTCTCAGAGGCCTGAACACTGTGCCTCATGAATGCATGCCAAGAACACCTGCCACCCTCCTTCCCAACACCTAGTATTTAGTGATGGCCTTCGCCTCACATGGCTTTGAAATCTACAACCCCTCACATACCTATATGTCACCAACAGATCCCCTCAGAGTCTCCTTCAGGCTGAAGAGACCCAGTTCCCTCAGTCTTGCCTCATATGGCTTTCTCTGCAATCCGGCCACCATCCTTGTGGCCCTATGCTGCACTGATTCTAACCTGGCTATATACTTCCTGTAACACAGTACTCCAGTTGCGGGCGCACCAGAGTCATACAGAGTGGTAGTAATACCTCTCTTGATCTAGAAGCCACACTTCTGGCTATGCAACCAAGGGTGGCGTTCGCCCTCTTGACCACCGCACCACACTGCTGACTCATGTTTAGCCTGCAGTCAACCAGTACCCCGAGGTCCCTTTCACAAGTGCTGCTCTCCAGCCACTTATCCCCTAACCTGTACTTATGACACCCATTCCTATGCCCCAAGTGCAAGACCTTGCACTGATCCACATTGAACACCATCCTGTTGTCTCCTGCCCACTTCCATAGTCTGCCCCAATCCTTTTGGATCTGGAGTACCTGCTTCTCAGTTGTGGCCACTGCCCCCCGCTTTAGTATCGTTTGCAAATTTGATCAGCAGACTGTTCACCCCTTCTCCCATGTTGTTGATGAAAAGATTGAACAGGATCGGCCTCAGGACAGAGTCCTGAGGGACCCCGCTTTTCACTGGCCACCATCTTGATGATTCCCCACTAATGGTTACCCTCTGCTTTTGGTCAGTCAACCATGAAACGATGTGGATGATTGCTACGAGTAGTTTGAGGCAAAACTGTGCTAGCTGTGGAAACCATGCAGGGTTCCATGCTATTACATGTGAACACAACCAGTAAGATCAACGGATGTCCCTTGTTAAGGGAGCCATGCAGTTTTCCATTTGCAGGCTGTCCTGCTGAGTGGACACAGAGCAACCAGCTGCTCCCTCAGTCTGTGTCTGTCCCATTTGCAGGTGGAAGACGAAACTGTTCTGTGCAACATCCCCTATATGGGAGATGAGGTGAAAGAGGAGGATGAAACCTTCATCGAGGAGCTCATCAACAACTATGATGGCAAAGTCCATGGAGAAGAAGGTAACTGGTACATACACCATCCTCCATAGAGTTGTAAGGGGGTTTTGCTCAGCCCACGTATGTATGTGCAGAGCAGAGTATAGGAGTGAGGTTTCTTTGAACACTTAGTATTTCCTTTTATAAGGGGTTGTCACCTTTATGGAGCCTGTTCTTCTCACGTAAGCTAGATTTGAATGTCATTTTGTTAGCCTTGTCAGAAGGCTCTTTCTTGCCAAGCCACAAGGGAAGCCTACATAAACACTTACCTCTTATCCATCTCAGTGCAGCAGATCTTTCCCCATATTTGGGTAGAGGGACCCTACCAATTCACCCAATTCCTCCTTTCAGAGATGCTCTCTGGTTCCGTCTTGATCAGTGATGCGGTGTTCCTGGAGTTGGTAGATGCACTGAATCAGTACTCTGAGGAGGAAGAGGAAGGGCATGATACTGCTGAAGGCAAACAGGAAGTTGGAAAGGATGAGTTGCCTCTCACCCGGAAGAGGAAGAGGCTCTCTGTGGATAGTAAGTGCCTTGCCTATTCATCATCCCTTTTTTCCTTTGGCCTACCATAGTTCTGCCATAACTTTACATGTTTTGCTGCTCCTCTGTGCCTCTTCTACGTATTATTATCTTGCCCCAGGCTATATGAATTGTTTAGCTGCAGTTCAGTTATGGATTCTCCTAAGTTATTTGTTTCTAGCAGAGATTAATGAAAGCAAAGCTGGTAACTGTTCTGTTAAGGTTCACAGTTTTTCTATCACCCTTCCCCAGAAATTATAAGTGAAGCCTAGAATCATAGAGGAGTTGAGGTGGAAAGAGCCTACAGGGCTATCAAGTCTAACCCCCTGCTCAATGCAGGACTCCAGGTTAAAGCAACTTTGACATATGGTTGTCCAGCTATCTCTTGAATGCCTCCACTGAGGGAGAGCCCACAACCTCCCTAGGTAATTGGCTCTGTGGTTGTGCTGCTCCAACAGTCAGAAAGCTTTTTGTGATGTCCCAGTCTGAATCTGGCTTTCTGTAACTTGACCTCTTTGTGCTTAACAAGGGAACCTCTGCAGAGAAGTATTTTGTGTTCCTGCATTTGGTAGCGCTGTTTGTCACTGGTAATGCTACTGCTATTAATCTGAGAAGGTGCAAGTTATAGACCACTGCAAATGTTACACAATTCCTGTGCAGAAGTCTTTTTGTGTAAGAGCTAGATTTAAACTTCAATGTAAAGTCTATGGTGACTTGTCTGTTTTCCTGTGTTGGAAGCTGCTAGTTTTACACACTCCACATGTGCATATTGTAAATGCACAGGTAGCCTCCTTGCAAGGCAGTGCATAGAAATCTCCTGCTTGGTCTTTCCTTTGTAGAAATCATTATAGGCTTCCTCTGTCCTAGGGAATGGCTTATTGTCTGGTGCTCATACAAGCATGTCCCTGCTTTTTGTGGTGTGTCCCTAATTACTTTCTAGATCATTCCCAGCCTTGAAGATTAATTGGGCAAAAGGAATGAAATGCCTTATTTCAGAAAGCATCCTTATACTTCCCTCTTTACCTGATACAGGCAACAAGAAATGTTCCAGGAAGCATTTTCCAAATGACATGATCTTTACTGCTCTTTCATCAATGTTCCCTGAGAATGGTTTTCCAGAGGATATGAAAGAGAGGTAGGAGTTATCTAGTGTGAACTGAGTGCCATGGATTTCTAGTCTGGGGTATTTGAATTACAAATGCTGAAGACCTGCAGTGGAAATGTATTATTTTTATATTTCAACAACTTGTGAAATTTGGCCATGACTTCCCAGCAGAGGTTGATAGGCATACAATGTATGCATAGGTTGCATCCTGATTACCACAGGAAAATGATCCTGGGAGCTGGACAGGCTTTATGTCATCTCATTTTGTTCTTCCCCCTGCAGCATGTGGCCTGACTTCCTTTGCTGTATCATCTTAGAATCATAGAATAGTAGAGTTGCAAGGGGCCATGAAGGCCATTGGGTCCAACCCGCTGCTGTTGCAGGACACCATGTTACACCAGCCCACTCAGATGGCTGTCCAGTTTCTTTTTGAATGTCTCTAGTGTGGGAGAGCCCACCACCTCTCTAGGCAGCTGTTTCCACTGTTGTATTGCTCTGACCGTGAGGAAGCTTTTCCTGTTGTCCAGCCTGAATCTGGATTGTTGCAACTTGAATTGATTATTCCATGTCCTACACTCTGGCATCAGCAAGAAGAACTCTTGACCTTCCTCTTTATGTCAGCCTTTGAGATACATACAGAGGGATACCATATCCCCCCTTGTCTTAAGTAAACTGCTCTTTAGACATCTTTTCTGCTGTGCACCAGTTTTCTGCTTTCTGTGTGCGGAGATCTGGGCTGATCTGTGTGTGATGTTGGGGCCTATCAGGGGTTTGGACTAAATGACTTCTTGGCTCTGCAGCTTGATTAGGTGATTTCATAACCTGCAGTGTAATCAGGATTGTGCAAATATCTAGAATGCTCCTAAAAGAGTTCAGTTGTGTTCCTGGACAATTGTGTAGGTACCCAAAGTGGTTCTTGCCTGTGGCATACAAACCATGAAGTGGCAGTGCTCCTAAAAAGGCAATAACCATTTTACCGAGTGCTTACTTTTACTTTTCCATTGATTGGAGCTGCTCTGGAGGTCCTCTGTGTGACTTTTCCTTCCTCTTCCCAGATACAGAGAGCTAACAGAAGAATCAGACCCAAATGTGCTCCCTCCCCAGTGCACTCCAAACATCGATGGGCCATGTGCCAAATCTGTTCAGCGGGAGCAGGCCCTCCACTCCTTTCACACACTTTTTTGCAGGCGCTGCTTCAAGTATGACTGTTTCCTCCACCGTAAGTCTCTGACTGGGTCCTCACCTTTTCTGTTCATATTTGCAAGTGAGCAACTGTTCTAGGGAAGTTGGAACAAGTGGCCTAGTTGTTTTCTGTGCAAGAGAATATCTCTTAGAAATCTTGGCATACCAAGTCTTCTCAGGAAGGTGGTTCTCCAGCAGGATTTAAATCCTGCAATCCGTTGAATTATGCCTCTCAACAGGTTGTCCTCTGTCTGTCTAGTCAGCTTCCTACTACATTTTCTGAAGTTCATAGAGTACCCCAAGTGGCTTAAAACAACCTATAAAACATGCATGGTCATCAAAAGTGTCATGCACCATAAGACAGCCAGACAAAAATTCCAATTAAAATTCCTTTTGATTAACTCCATTTTATGTTAACCTCAGATAGCCAAGTGCAGTTTGAATGATTAATCAAATAACTTTGATTTATTTGGGGTGTCTGCAAAGAAAGGGGAAGGCTTTTACTGAGGAATGAGTCCATAAGCTATTGTGTCAGCTTCCTGTTAAAACCGTTCCCATCTTTTAGCTTTCCATGCTACCCCCAATGTCTATAAGCGGAAGAACAGAGAGACCAAGATTGAAATGGAGCCTTGTGGGGCAGACTGCTTCTTGTGGTTGGTAAGTTGCATGGGAGTTGGGGCAGGATGGAGGAGGAAGGGCAGAAGCAATCGCACTTGAAAAACCTAGAAATGAACTATTCTTGAGGGATAGCTGTGTTAAGAGCATTAAAGCAAAGCAAAAAGTCCTGGAACACCTTGAAGATTAGAGTCTGCTTCATCAGGTAAAGAGTCCTCCTTCCTATTTGTGTGCTCACAAACTGCTGCAAAATTAAAATGGTAGGCTGGGGCCCAAATGCAATGAAATGTTAGATGTTGTAAAGCTTGCAAGAATTCTGTGTAAAACTTAAATGTGTGTAAGATAAGCTTAATGACCATTTTACAACAAAACTAACTGGAGGTTATTACCAATTATTATACGTTACTATGTTAATGAACACTTGTAGCAGAAATGAATAGGATCAAACTCCCTGATAAGTTTATAACTCAGCTGCTGTCTCCTTTTGTAGTTTCTTTGTTGAAAGTTGGGAACTCTCAGGTCAGCAGCAGGACATTCTGAGAGATCAAAATATTCTTCCCGTGGTTTCTGATTGTTGCCAGTTTTTGATGGCAAGTTTGTGTCCATTTATTTTTTGCAGAGGAAATCAGCTGTTTGTCCTAAAATATGACAATCCTGTGCACAGTGGCACTGTTGGCAACTAACAGCTCATCTTCCAGTGTGATGTAATAATAGATAATAATAATAATAATAATAATAATAATAATAATAATAATAGATAATAATAGCTGCCTTGCTTTCCCTTACAAGGAACCCAAGTTGGCTTACAAGGTTCTCCTCTCCATTTTATCCTCAAAACAACAACCCTGTGAGGTAGTTTAGGTTGAGATTCTGTGACTGACCAAAAGTCACCCTGTGAGCTTCATGGCTGCGTGGGAACTAGAAGCCAGATTTCCCAGGTCCCCAGTTCAACACTAACCACCACACCACACTGGCTCTGTAGTTAGTCCCATGTTCCGAGGGACCAGCCAGTGGGATATTGCAAATGTCAGGTTGGTAAGTACAGTTGTCCAAGTTTCTTCCTGCACGTTGAAGTAACGGGCTACTTTAGCATTGCCCAGTACAACTCGGACCTGTCAGTTCCAGAGGTTTATTTCAAGAGCTCTCAAAGCCTTCTGAACTGCTAGCAGTTTGAGAAAATTGATATGCTGAGAAAACTTGGTTTTCAGCCAAGATTCTTGTTTCATCTGTGTGCTGTAGGAAGCACCCCAGCAATTCTGAGTCCTAGTCCAAGAGTCTTAACCACTACTCTGCTCTGGTTCCCTTGCTCCTCACTGCACGTGAATGACCCTTTGATGATGCTGAATTAGAACTTAGCAAGGAGTTTGATATGCTGCTGGTCTGGCTTGCAGCAGTGTTGCCTGAGTGGATAAAGTCCTCTGTATCTGAACCTTGCCTAGAAATGTCATGCTGCATTTCTTGCATTTTAACTCTTTCTCTCTGTGCATGCGTGTGTGCCTGCATGTTCAGGTGTTTGCTACATTGTGTTGGTGGGTTTATGGCAAAAAGCTGTTCCATAAATAGTTTAATAAATGCAAATAACTCCCAAAGAGAATGTAATGGTAATTTAATTGTTTGGAGCTCTCGGGGGCAGACCTTTGGAGCCCTTTTCTAAGCTTCTACCAAAGCTTAAAAGCAGGGAGCAAGAACTAGGGCACTTGCCTACGATACCTCCCTTTATTCCATTTTATGCAGGAACTGCAGCAGGTGTCAAAGAAATAGACACTTGAAAAAGTTGCAAGCAGCAGAATGCTACTTCAGAAGGGATGGTGGAGGGCGGTGGGTGAATCTGTATCTGCAGGGAAGCCTTGTGGTCGTGCCGAGAGCCATACAGCTGTGGGAGTGGTTTTCAGTGCCAGGAATTCAGAGATGCCTGGTCTTGCTCCACAACCAGCTTGGGTGTTTGTGAGCAGCCTGCCTGTTAGGAGGTCCGCTTGTTGGGTGTGTGTTCTAAGCAGACTTTGCTTGCAGGAGGGAGCCAAGGAGTACGCTGTCTTGCACAACCCACGCTCGAAGTGCTCTGGCCGGCGTCGCCGCAGGCACCCCACACTCGGTGCCTCCGCTAGCTCCTCCACTGCGTCGGCCTCCGTGAGCACTGAAGCGAAAGAAGGCGACAGCGACAGAGACACAAGCAATGACTGGGCCTCCAGCTCCTCGGGTACTTGAGGCGCCTTTGATTAATCTCTCGCTGCCCTGTGGGGAGAGGCGGCTGGGAAATTGTGGCCTCTGTCAGTGTCCACTACAGGACTTACTTCTGTGCTTTGGAATGTTGGTGGGCTGGGAGGTCAAAAAAAGAACCAAAGCCTGCTTTTTCAGGGGAAGTCATCCCAGAACATATTTTGAACCAGAGCTTGGTCTCAACTTCTTCTGGGTCCAGGATCTGAAATGAATGCATCTTCCTTTGAGCACAGCATTTGGGGCAGACAGTGTAGATCAGGGAATCTCAATCTTTTTGGACCTGTGGACACATTTGGAGTTTGAGAAACTGCTGTGCGTGCCATCAAAAAATAGCTCCAACATTGGATGTGACCAGTCACATAACTGCTGCTGCAGAACGCTTGGTCAAAAAAGATGGTAGGGGAGAGAAATAGCAAGACTGGAAGGGGATGAGGGAGGAGGAAGAGGAAGACTAAGGGCCAGGAACAGGGAGACTATGTGGCTGTAAGACTGAGGGGGCCAGCAGAAAGGAACTTTTTCCTTCCCTGCCTGCCTGCCAAACAGCTGTTCTGCAGCTGCTGCAAGAACAGGAAGGAGAACCTGCTTTGTATTTAAAGTAGTTTTTTGAAGGGGACAGGAAGTTGAGAGCTTTGTGAGTACTATTGGAAGTCCCAGTGGGTACTTTGCTGGAGACCCTTGATACTGGTGTAGACTGCAGGTATACCTCCTTTGAGAGGTGGCCTGCGGCATCTCGGGCTTTGGTTCTAGGTGTTCCAAATCTTTGCATTTGTCTCATTGTCCTAGAGGCAAACTCTCGTTGCCAGACACCAACCAAGCCAAAGCTGAGTCCTGCCTCGTCTCAGCCTTTTGTGTCTGATCTCCCACTGGAGCCAGTTGAATGGACAGGGGCTGAGGAGTCCCTCTTCCGCGTCTTCCATGGAACTTACTTCAACAACTTCTGTTCTATTGCTCGTCTCTTGGGAACCAAGACATGCAAGCAGGTGTGGATCTTGCTGGCTGGGAGCACCAGCTTAGCAATGCCAGGCGTGTGTGCACATTCCCTCATGCTGAGATGTTTGAATGAGCTGCATTTCTGTTCTGGCAGGTCTTTCAGTTTGCAGTGAAAGAGTCCTTGATCATGAAGCTGCCAGTTAATGAACTCTTGAATCCCTCCCAGAAGAAGAAGAGGAAGCACAGGTGTGTAGCGAAGGAAACCTGCGCAGTAGCAGGCACACGAGGCAGTCCCTTGTGCAGGTAGTTTCTTTGAGCTACCAAATTCAGTTGCTCTTGGTCCTGGTTAGGGTTCTTGAGGGTGGACTCAAGCTTTGAACAGCAAATGCCATCCTAGCTGTTGTTGTATGCCATCCCTCCACTCATAAGGAAAGGGAAAAGAAATTTGAAATCTGGTGGCTTCTTGCCAGTCTTCCTGAACCTTGTTGAGCTAGAATAGGCCCCTCTCTCTAATTTTGCTGTCACAATTTTGCTGTGACAATGAAGCAAAAGAGGAAGACTTCTGATTTTGTGGGTTTCATAGGATGTATTTCCAGGTTTAAACTTGGGGTGTTCTTTTTTTCTCCCTTTCTCCTCCTCCCTCACCAAAGGCTCTGGGCTGCTCACTGTAGGAAGATTCAGCTCAAAAAAGGTAATGTTGGTCCTCTTTTCACCCTACCGCCCAGTACACATACACAGTCTGGGTTCTCATCCCCTTCTCCTGCTTGGGAACAATAATAGGACTTGGAGCCTTGCCATGTTGGGCCTGTAGCCCCTTTTCTCTCAGCCTCGTTCAGAACCTGTTGAGATATTTTGGTCAGCTATCGACAAAGTGTTTCCTCCAAGGCACAGTCCAGGTTAGGGGTCCCTAAACTTTTTAAATCCTTGGGCACATGTGAGAATTGAGAAATCACAAAATGGCTCCCATGGTGGATATGGCTAGTTGTGTAATGGCTGTTATCAAAAAGAGCTCAGGGAGAGAATAGTAAGGCTAGAGACTGAAAGGAGAAGAGGGAAAATAGCAAGGCAGGGGAGTGGAACAGGGAGAAACAATAAGATTATGAGGCAAGAAGGAGATAAATGGTGAGCTAGAAATGGGCTGGCGAGAAACAGCAAGATAAAAGGATATGTAATAGAGAAAGAGTAACGCTAGGGGCTAGGTAGGGAGACAGAGCAGCTAGGGATGAAGGAAGAAGAGAAAAGGAAATGAGAAGGGAGAAGTAGCAAGGATGCAGACTTGGAGTCAAAGGGGGGAGCGGGGAGAGAGCGCAAGGGAGAAAGGTCTGTAGGACCAAAAAGCAATTCTGTCGTCCTCTTGTGCTTGTCAGTTCTGCAGGAACAGGAAGGACAGCTTGGTGCTGTGAACCTTTTCAAAGTTTGTATGAGAGGCTTTGGAAGGGGACCAGGAGCCAAGAGCTGCATGGCATTGTTGCACGTCCCCTTCACCTGTCCCGGGCATCTTTAGTACTCTTCTGGTCAGAGAAGGAATTCCCTCATAGACAGTATTGCTAACTTGCGATATTTTCAGTGGGTAGGCACAATAGTCCAAGTAGGTATTGATTTCCTGCTGCATTCCAGCATAGCTTGCAGCTTGGCATTGCCCTCTGCATATGGGGCACAGTGTTCTCTTCTAATGTGTTTTATGCAGCACTGGGTATTCATGGGAAGGGGCTGAAGAGCTTTCCCTCAATTCTCTTTCTGCAGACAATTCATCTACTCAGGTATACAACTACCAGCCCTGTGACCACCCGGGCCATCCCTGTGACAGCTCCTGTCCTTGCATCATGACCCAGAATTTCTGCGAGAAGTTCTGCCAGTGCAATCCAGACTGTAAGGAACAAGGCACCAGGCCACATTTACGCATTCTTGCATGTGGCCCTGGTGAGGGGCACTCCCTCTGTGGGTTGTTCCATGTCTTTCACAGTGGTGGGTCCCTTTTAAAGATGTTTATTTCTCCTGCAAGGCCAGAACCGATTCCCAGGCTGCCGGTGTAAGACTCAGTGCAACACTAAGCAATGCCCGTGCTATCTGGCTGTCCGAGAGTGTGACCCAGACCTCTGCCTGACCTGTGGGGCCTCAGAACACTGGGACTCCAAAGTGGTATCCTGTAAGAACTGCAGCATCCAGCGGGGACTCAAGAAGGTATATACCCTACTCTGGAAAGGGGAGAGGCAAGGAGAAAGAGATAGTCAATTGATTGAATTTGGAGCTTGTAGTTTGGTGCTGATTAAATCAGATTTGATCTCTTGAGCAAGTGGTGGGAAAAGGCCCCCTAAGGATTTTGTGGAACTGATTTATTTGGCAAGACTATTCTTCCAAATCCCAACAACTTTCCTGCTGGAAATATTACTAAGCCCCAATCCACACCAGTATTTGAGAATTCACCAAGTATTTTCAAGTGTATCTCTGCAATTATAAGGGCCAGAAACTTATTTTTTAAAAGGGATCCTCTGTGCAGTACAATTTCAGTGGAAAACACAATAGCCTCTCATTTGGAGACTTTGAAAGAGACATCTGCCTGAAATGCTGCAGGTGGAGGGTAGCTTGCTATGGGTGGGAGCCTAGAATTTCTTTGGGCCCTCCCACCAGAGTGATTCCCCGGGACTGTGTCCCAGGGGCTTAGCAGGGCAGACTGAATCACCTTCCATCTCTTCTTATCTTAGCACCTGCTGCTGGCCCCATCAGATGTTGCTGGGTGGGGAACCTTCATCAAGGAGGCTGTGCAGAAGAATGAATTTATCTCTGAGTACTGTGGGGAGGTGAGTTGGGAAGGAAGGACATGGCTTGAGAGTTCCAAGTTTTTCTACAGCATTCCTTTGCCCTTTCTTATCGGTATCAAGCGATGGAGGTGGTCTTAGGGACCATTCTGATCTCTTGGCAGCTCAGCCCATGAGCTTGTGAGCATAAAAAGATGAAGAAATGGGAGAAATGTACCCTTCTCTCTCTGGGCTGAACATTACATTTGGCATTTGCTAAAACACTATTGTAAAATGGATAAATCCCTCTGCAAAACACTGGGGTAGGTTCCCTGGCTAACTCTGGTCACGGTACTTGGTACTTCCCAAGTCACAAGGTCCAGAGGGACGTAGATGAATGTCATTTCCCATCAGGTCCCCTGGAACCCTTACTATCACTTCTTTAGGTGATGATACCTAAGTCATGAAATTCAGGCAGCCCTCAGTGCTGGCTCTCCTTTCAGCCCAGCTGCTTTGGGCTTTGATACTGGGGCAACTTCCCAGGCATTCATGACCATGTTCTCTCTGACTGGTTCTAGGGTATATAACCTCCAGCCCATAGCCTCAACTTTTAAAACTTAAAAGTTTTAAAATTAAAACTTTTAATAATATTCTATTGGGTTTTGTTTTAGTTTGCACAGCAGCCAAAACCCAAACAGAAGTAGGATAAAACGGATCACAGAGGAAGGAGAGAGGGGCAGGAAAAGAGGATAGTATGTATCCATCTTGCTCATTCATCAAGTTTTCAGTCTGCAGAGAAGTCATACTAAACCTTTGACCTTCAGCTAGTTAAAGAGTTTGGCATAGGCTTGCTATGTAGCTTGGTAAATATTTAATTTGTGTGGTCTACACTGACAGTAGTACATGCAAATAAGTTTTTGGCGTCTTAGAGGCTCACGGGCGGAATATGAGTCTGGAGTCAAGAAAGCTGATGCATTTGGGGGCTATAATAATGGAAGTAAAGTGTTGAGATCAGGGGAGGTAATAGTGTCACTCTATTCTGCATTGGCCAAGCCACATTTGGAATATTGTGACCTGTTCTGGGTACCCCATTTTAAGGAGGACATTGAGAAACTAGAGCGTCTTGAGATAAGAGCAACCAGGAGGGTGAAAAACCTGGAAACCAAGAGAAATGTTTGAAAGAGCTGTGCTGGAGAAGAAAAGACAAATGGGAGATAGCAAACTTCCAGGTCTGAAAAGCTATAATGTAGAAGATGGAGCAGGGCTGTTCCCCATTGTTCCTGAGGACAGGACCAGCGGGCAGACTAGAACCAGCAGCTGGAAATAGCAGAGAAGCAGATTGCATAGGCTCATAGAGTTGAAAGGGAGCCTAGGAGATCATTGAGTTCAGTACAGACTCTGCACTGCAGGGTGCAGCCCCTGTGACAGATGACCATCCAGCTGCTGCTCAGATATTTCCAATGAAGGAGAACCGGCCTCCCAAGGCAGTCTGTCCTCCTGTTGAACAGCTCTTACTCTTAGGAAATTTATTTATTTATTTAAAACATTTCTATGCCGCCCCCATTGCAAGAAAGCCTCAGGGTGGCTCACAAAGAATACATAAAAACATACATTAATAATAATAATATGACAATTTAAAAAAACATTTAAAAAACCCTGGTGCATTCTCGGCTAAAAATTTTAAAATCCTAATTAATTCAATAATTTAACAATTAAAATAAGTTTTAAATAAAAAGGTCTTGGCCTGGCGCTGAAAAACAAATAACGACGGCGCCAGGCGGACCTCTCTGGGGAGCGCATTCCATAGATGGGGCGCCACCGCAGAGAAAGCCCTCCTCCGTGTACTCACCCTCCTAATATCATTCACAGGGGGTTCCCGGAGAAGGGCATCCGTTGCTGATCTCAAGGGGCGGGAGGGCATATATGGGCACAAGTGTTCCTTTAGATATCCAGGTCCCAAGCCGTTTAGGGCTTTATAGGTCATAACCAACACCTTGAATTGTCTCCTATTGCGAAGCCAAGATCTGCTTCTCTGCAATTTCATTTAAACTTTAGGAGAAAATTACAATTGGAAGGTATCTTAAAATTCATGGTCATAATTGCACTGAAAGATCAGTTTCCAGGACCAAGATGGTATGGACAATGAACCCTGTCCAGAATTGAGAAGCATCAATACAACATAATTGGCATTAATGAGACTTCATTGCATCACCAGCAATTGAAAGAAGGTAGCATATTTGTCTTAATCATAAAGGAGACCAATATGCCCTTTAAAACAAATTCACTTGTATGACTTAAATTTTAAGTTGAGGTTTTGAAACAAATTCTCCTGTGTGTCTAAAATCTAGATTTGAGGTTTTAATTAAAGGGAGAACAATCGTGTATTGCGTTGAAAGAATGTGATTCTCCTGTTCTCTGTTTCATGATGTCCGCATGTTGTGTCAAGTGGCATTATTGACATGAGCCTGTATGGAAGACTATAGTTGGCTTGGGTGGGGTTGGTACACTGTATAGATTTTCTCATTTGGAAAGGAGTGGCACCAAATGTATTGAAAAAAATACATATTTCAAATGCAACCAGTTACTTCTCTGTCTTCCACAAAAATGTATGATGAGCAATTTTAGAGTATTCTAGAGTATGGCAAATTGTTAATTTTTCCAGCAAAGTGGGGCTGAGAAGAGTTATTTGCTTATTTATTATATTTATATCCCATTTTTTTCCTGCAAGGAGCTTGAGGCAGCTTGTACAATCCTGTCCATTTTATCCACACAAAAGCAACCATGCAATGTAAGTTTGAGTGACTGGCCCAGTGAGCGTCATGGCTGAGTGGGCACTAGGCTCTCTCTGACTGGCTCAGTTATGGTTGGATGTTCTCTCTTCATGGGTATATCAGCTATCCCACTGCTGTTTCCAGTAGGTAAATATCCTGTAATTTTTCAGCTTTTAGCACTCTTTTTGCCAAAGGAATTTACAGAATCCTTTGTGGAAGTTACACCCTTTAACAGCCTTGTTTTGACAGGATCTCACTTGCCTTCTTTTTGACCACTCATTTGTTGTTGTTATTTCATCAGCTAATTTCTCAAGATGAGGCTGACCGACGTGGCAAGGTTTATGACAAGTACATGTCCAGCTTCCTCTTCAACCTCAATAATGGTAACAAGCTGCAGTGGGGCAAGTTAGCGCTCCGGATTGGCCTGAGTGGTGGAAGGGAGTGCGGAGAGGGGAGGCAACTCGTATGGGACCAGCAGTAGGGTTAAGGTCCAAAACCCTGCCTCTGTTGGTCTTGGAGGGGTCATCTTGAAACAGTTGCTCAGGGTCTGCTGATGGCCCAACTTCTGGTCTCTCTTCCCTGGACAGATTTCGTTGTTGATGCCACCCGCAAAGGCAACAAAATCCGCTTTGCAAACCACTCTGTCAATCCCAACTGTTACGCCAAAGGTGAGGTTGCTGAGCTCTGTGGCCCCCTGTGGCGGTACAGCCCAGCTTGGCCGACTGCCACTTCTAGGAAGGTCCCCACCCCAGAGCGGGCTCCCACGTTCAAACAAACAAACAAGCAAACAACCCAGACATGGTGGATATTTGTTTTAAGTAACTGAAATACTAGGACAGAGCACTGGTCCATCTGCTTTACTGTATCTGTGCAAAAATAACTGATCTCTGTTGCAGAGATATCTGGAGCCCTATTCCAAGTTCTTCTGTAGCACAGCAAGTGACTTGAACTCAGGGTGGTGGGTTTATGCTGCAGTGGTGAAAGGTCTTAGGGCGGGGGTAATCAGGCAAATAATGAGGCTGGATAACTGATCCGGGGTCTCTTTTGCCCCAACTCAGTGGTGATGGTGAATGGAGACCACCGCATTGGGATCTTTGCCAAGAGAGCAATCCAGGCAGGCGAAGAGCTCTTTTTTGATTACAGGTGAGTATGTGATACAGGGAAGGTACAAGAGACTGCTCCCGATTCTATCTAGAAAATCCCAACATGTTGCTCAATGCAAGATCCCTTCTTGGGGAGATGCCACAGAGAAGAACATGCCTGCTCATAGCAGTTTCCCTTCTCCCACAGGTATAGCCAGGCAGATGCACTCAAATATGTTGGCATAGAAAGGGAGACTGACATAATCTAACTGTAATCACCACCATTCTGCCTCAGCGCACTAGACATGCTGCTTCTCTCATTGCTGTGTGTGGTTGTGAAAGCTTCACTGCACCTTCAGAGAAGAAAAGGCCCATCTCTTTCTACAGTACTGAGACTTTGGCTTCAAATCCTGATTGGTGGCCACAGGAAACTCTGCTAAATTGCTTTTGAGAAGAAACTTAAGAGGCACTGAAAAGGCAAAGATGGAACACCTGCTTAACCGCACTCTGTGGAGGATCAGCTTCAGAGTGGGGCACTGGACCTTGCAACCTCCGTTAGCCCTTTTGAAAGATTTGGTTTGAGCTGGAGAAGCTGCATGCAAGAGCAGGAAGTGTCCCAACGCAAGCAGACCCCACCTGCAGAAAAGGCTAGCTTGTAAACTGCATTGCAGATACATACTCTGTGGATCTAGGTATTTGTAGGCTGGCAAACGATGGGAGGAGGAGGAATGGAGTATGAGATTGGTTTGACAGAGAAACTGAGGGGAGTGTAGGGAAACATGTAGCCCTCCAGATGGAGTTGGACTGCAGCTCTCCTCATCCCTCACCATTGGCTGTGCTAGCCAGGGGTGATGGGAATTGCAGCCCAGCATCAGGGTTACCCTGGGGTAGAGGGTTGACCATGGAGAAACAGTAGATGGCTGGACAATGCTGGCAAAGCATGGAAGAGGCACAACACCCTCTTGCTGTGTTGAGTCTTTGGTGTTGTTTAACTCTCTATCCCAGTGCCCTCCCAGATGTTGGTCTGCAATTCCCATGATTTCAGCAAACACAAACCAGTGGCTATGCTAATGAGACTATGCAAGGTATAGTTGAAAACATCTGGAGAGCACCAGGTTTAGGAAGGCTGTGATAGGCCCCTGGATACATCAAAATGCTGTTCTTCCTTGCTCTATCAGTAGGTGAAGACAAATTAGTATAAGGAGTTCTCACATCCATCCTGGGAAGCACCTGAGTTACTTTCAGGCCCATGAGGCTGGAGCAGTCGTTCCAGCAACATAAAGCCATTGTTTTGACTGGTGCGGTACTGTGCTTACTGAGTTGCTAATCTGAGATTTATTTTTCTGATAGCAAATATTAGGTTCTGTTGATTTCACTTCCATCTCCAGTCAATTTTTTATATTTTTTAATGTTTTGGTGGGAGGAGTATTCCTTTTGCTTCTTCAGCAAAGAGATCATGCTTTCTCTTTCTCACCTGATCTTCTTCCAATGTAATACTAAGCCTCATACTTGGCATTTCCGGAGGTTAATTAACATTCCTTAGTTGTTAAGATAGATCCAAATCTTTGAACTAGCACTCTTTTTAGCTCTTTTTGAACTGCACTCTTGAAGCTGGGGGTGGGGGGGGGGGCTTCTTAGATGGCTACTTAGAGGGAAGATAAGTAAACATTGGTGTCCTGGGTAGATGGAGACATTAAAAATACTAATTTCTTGCCTCACTGACCACCCCAGTATCAGAATATATTTCCTGTCTACTCACATACAAAACAAAACTAGCATGCACTTTAGAATAATTCACTCCGTCAAGGTCAGGGTACTAGGACATGAAAAGTTGATCCCCTTCTAATCCATTGTGTTGATTAGGGGATGAAAACTGGTTCATGGAGTTGTTTAGCCAGAAACTAGTAATGAAAAAATAGCTTATTGCACTGTTGAAAGTATTTGCAAGTGCCAGCAGTTAGACCAGATCTTGTTCAGGGCGGATGAGCCTTTCTCTCAGCAAAGTTGCTACAGCAGCTGCTGCATTGGTTTGTTGAATGGGAGAAGGGAAACAGGAAAAATACTTGTAACCCTACGCTGAATTAGACAGATTTACAGTTGAGTTATCATGGAGTGGTATCATCATATTGACTATAATAAGAGCAGCATTTGGCCAGTGGAAGAAATTTTCAGTCACTGCATCTTAAAGTAGCTGAATTGTAAAAGGTGTTGTATTTCTCTTGCTCTATAAAACACTGACAGTTCATTGGCCAAATTCTCTTCCCTGTCCTTAGACCTAGGGTAAGTCTGGGACATGTGCAAGTAATACTAGTGACTGAGCATGTGCAGAGTGCTTCTACTACTGTGTATTTATAACCTGCTCTCTACTATCTGGAATCAAGGGAAAGGGATTGCAGAAATGAGAACACAATTGCTGAGCCGCCTGGAGTTCCTCAGTCTCTAGAAATTACCACAGAAAAGACCGAAGCAGAAGGAACAGGTTTTAATCATTTTTGCTTTCTCCTGTAGCTAAATTCTTGTGATGGAAGAAAGCATTTTATCTATTAAATTTAATAACCCACCCCATTACTGCATCCAACTGCACTGAAGCATAGAGAACACTGGTATTAATTTTGGAATGAGAAAAGGGTGCTATATAATTGCTAGTTTCTTCTCTTTATTACAAACTACTAGTTTGGAGCTTGTACTCGTAGCCCTCTCCTTGTGATGGCTACTAGAGAACCCTCTACATGAACAGCCACAATGGGGGCAATCAAAAGGCCAAGAAACTGACTGCCCCATTTGCAACAGCCTGCTACCTCACAATACATACAGCGTAGGCGTGAGCAGAAAGTAGAGCATCTAATGTTTTGGACATCAGCTCCTGACTATTGGCCTTGCTGGTAGAGGCATATGAAGGTTGAAGAAATCGCTACAGATCTTCCTGATGCCCACAGCACTAAAACACTGTAGAGGACACTTTTAAGAACTATTTTATGTTCTCAAATATCTTGAGGGGTACAATCAAATAGATTAAAGCATTCCTGTTCTGTAGCCTAAAGTTGAGGAGACGAAGTGGGAAAGCATGGTCCCTGCTTTTTAGCTATAAAAAGTCAGCAAAATAATACAGCTTGAAAGGCCTTGAGTAGTAGTTGTGGCTAGCCTTGTCCTTCAACTCCAGCTTAGATGAGGGGGAATAAGGTTTCAGGGGCAGAGACTCTGTTTCCTGCAGCCCTGAACCCTGCCTCAAAGCTGCACCGTCTGGGAAGGGCAGTAATAGAAAACAGGGTGTGAAGAAGGGCTGCTATTCTATATTTGGCCAGTGGGTTGAAGTGGCATGCTCTGTTTGGTCAAGCCACAGTAATTCAGCACTGGATATTGGCCTTGCAGAAAGTCACTAGCTTAAAGTGATGCATGCCTGTTTTGTCAGAAACTAGGCCTACAGTAGTGGGTGTCCTTTCTGTCTATATTTGCAAAAGTAGCTTGACTCATAGGGGGATTGTCCTTGCAGCTCATGGATGTTCAGACTTCATATCCATAATGCATTATATTCTGTCTTGGACTACAAGCCTGTATTGCTGCTGCTGAGGCACAGAAAAGAAGGGTGTAGTTCCAGTTCTGACAAAGGTCTGTAGTCCTTTTGTAAGTTTTTTAAATGTAGCAGTGTGTAGCAGAAAGAACTTTTATGCTTTGCCTTCTACCACAACTTCATAGAACTGCTGTTCTTGCAGGGAAGGAAAAGGGAGCCTGTTAGGCCAAATGCTGTCTGGCTTCTTCCTTGCCTGGCTGCTTGTGATTCTACTTTGCTGCTGGCAACTTATGTGCACTTTATGTTTTATAAACATTTGTCTTAATAAAGATGCAGTGGCCACTGAATGATGACTGCCTTATTTCATTCCTGAGACCAGTATTGGGAAATAAGTTAAATTGGATAGCTCTGCCCCTTCCCCACAGGCACAGACAATCAGAAAATTTTCCAGCTTTTGTGCAATGTTTCCCTATTCTAAAAGGGTGAACTGCCTCTCCTCAGACTTACTTGCAGCAAGAGCTTTAAGCTACAGTATGGTCCCATCCACCCCTGGAATGTGGCCAATAAGAACTTTCCAGAAATGGAATTTGGTCCTGTAGTTGAAAAAGGTTCGACCCTTCCTGTCAATGTTCAAGCGTTCAAGAGAGCAGGGCAGGCAGAACTACCACTTGGTTTGGACTGTCCTTTGCTGACTTTACCCTGAAAAGGTAGTTGTACAGTTTTTGGCCTGAAATTTCTTCTTGTTGATGGGCTGTATGACACTCCCAGCATGACAGTCCACACCCCCTTGTATGGCTACAGTAATGCCAGCAATGTTTTGCTGATACAGTTCTCATTCCAGGATATTGATTCTTTGAGACCTTGCCTGCAAAGTGAATTTTGATCTACTGCATGATTATTGATCACTGCATGGCAGTAGTTGTGCTGCTGGCCCAAGGGCTGCCTTCTAGACTCTCTCACTCCTGTAATAATTGGAACTGAAATCCTGTTTCTGACAACAGCCTCCAAGCACAAGGAACACTTCTCCTGTGCTCCCAGATCTGTCCTAGTTACTACAATTCAGCTAATAACATACGTGTGTGTGTGAGAGAGAGAGAGAGAGAATGAAATCAAGCTAAGTTTATCTCCGTAACAGTTATAGTAAACAATTACTTCTTGTAGTTTAACAGCGGTCTTCTTTACATAAAGTATTGTTTTAAAAACCCATTCATTCCAACTACATTTTTAATTTCCGTGTTCCAGCTGCTGAAGAATGTTGTCATCTCCCGCACACCTCCACGACAGGATCACACCATAATCACCCTTTTTTCTTTTATTTGTTATTTAAGTCAACCTTCACATTTTGTCCAAACAGCTCTTTAGAAAAAATAAACTGCCCAGGAATAGGCCCAGGCTTTTGGATAAAATAAATGTATTTGGCCCCTGCTACAGTGTTTTCAGACAATTCACAAGTGAAGTTAGCTTTCAAGGTAGGGAAGGAAAAGGATTATAGGTTAACGAGGAGCAAATGCATTCTTCCCCTGAAGTAGCAAACTACAGACCACAGGCAACACCACTTCAAAACAGATCAGACATCAGCTTTTGTTTTTTATACAAACTCACTGAATAAAAAACCTAGTCTAATAATCCACAACCAAGAAAGGAAAAAAAAGAATTTTAAATTCTCAAAGCCCTGATTTATGAAATCAGCAAGTGGTAGCAAAGTGCAAGTGATTCTTCCATGCGTTACAGCTGCACATATATACTGGCAGGCGATACCTATATTTCATACTGATTTCTTTCTGGGCACAATATAATGTGCCAGGATCTAAATATGCTATATTGCATGGCTTGACTAATGGCTTTTTTATGCTAAGCAGCTAAGCAGGAAGACTATGTGCTAGTGAGTCACATGTGAGAAGGCCAGCATAGGTTTTGCATTGCATTTTCCCTTGTTTCTTGAAAATAAAGAAGAAGAAAGTGCAATATTGACAGACAACATCTTGTCAAAGAAGTTCTGACATTTGGGTGGCAGAAAGTCCAATGGACTGGACATGGGCAGCTTGGTTTGTGGAGAAGATGGTTATTATCCATGGGGTGGGAGGGAATAGGTATCACTTTGGCAGCTGCTTAGACACCATCCAAATCCCCCAAAGGATGGGAAACATGTCTGGTGGGAATTAGGCTATCCCAAATAGTGGGTAAGGGAGCAAATCTGTGATTGGACACCTGCTGGTCGGTACTGGTTCTGACTGGAAGATAGTGCAGGTGAGACAAGACAAAGCACCACGCAGGCCAAACCATGGGACAGTGGAGAGAAAAGTCAGCCTGCCAGCAAGTGGCACAGTTGGCAGTTCTGGTTTGGTCTTGCCAAGAGGCTGTAGCCAGCACCAATGACTGGAGCATTAATCCTTCCGGCAGTATTTGGCTACTCTGTTTTGGTCTCCTCCAGGATTTGTGGCAAGTTTTGATCCTTCCGTGAGGCAGCTGCCTTAGCCACAGGCGTGGAAGCAGCTCCGCCACCACTGCCACTGTTGTAGTCCTGGATGGCCTTAGGCTCATTGGTGTGGTATGAGCCCTTGTAGCGATGATGATGGAGGTACATCAAGATGAGGGCAGCCGCCAGAAGCAGAAGCAGGAAAATGAAGACTGTGAGAAGAAGGCAGGAATGGTGAAAGACAAGGGAGAACCAAAGTAATTCAACAGCAAGTGCTGGCTGCAGAACACCAGCCTGCACTCAGCATCTAGTAGGACTTCAGCTGAGATCTCCAGAGCTCCCACTGGCCAAGCAGCCCAAGCCACCTGTGGCACAGCTCTAGAGGGAATGCTCCCCCCAGTCACTGCCTGGTTGATCACTCACCTCCAATAAGAATTGCAACCCAGCCATCATCATGGATGTACAGGAAATCCACTAGAAGGGCACAGAAAACACAGGGGAGTTTAAGATGCAGTTTTTAAGCAACAGAGGTTCAACTTTCTGGAACACTTTCCCCAGAAAGTGAGGTCTCACTGGCTCTATCCATTCCTGTAGGGTATCTGCTCCATTTATGAAATCTTGACTTCTTGAGAAGTCCTTTGTCCCCATCATACCCACCCCATTCTCTCGGAAAGAAACAAGTGACAAGACAGAGTATGCTAGGTAAAAAGTTATTGGACCAACTTCCTTTGGGAACTGGGATGTGTGTGTGAAAGAGAGAGTCCGAGAAGACTTGACTTTACAGGCAGTGCTCCCCTCACCCCAGATACCCTGGCAGTAACCCCAGGGCCATGGTGCACATGATTCAAATGACTTGACTCAGCTGGAGCTGCATCTCCCACCCTCCCCAGCTGCTCTCTACTCTGTTTCACGAGAGCTGGCCAATGGTTAGATGATCCAGTTCTTTGCGTGGGAGGTGACATCACCCCTTAGACCCTTCTGGTTCAGCAAGATTGTCCTGAAAACCCACACTAGCCATCAACCATCTCTGAGATGTCAGACAGATGTGCACCAAGTAGAAAACTGATTCTTCATGCGAGTGCCTGGCATCAAACAGTATGTGGACTTCCCCACAGTACAGACATGCAATACAGAGGAAGGTACTGCACAGTGTCGCTATACTACTCTGAAAAGGTGAGTGTATACTGGGGTACCAGATGGATTTGCAAAGGAGATTTCCAGGCAAAGCATGCAATGCTATGAGGCAGGATTACAATCCAGAGTCTGTGCTGTGGCCAAGTGGAAGGGCACCCCCAAGTTCCTTGCCTCCGAGTGAGCACAGTCTTACCATACCCTTATGAAACACCATAAGAGGGCAGGAACTCCAGCAGTGACCCACTGCCCCCACATAAAGTGGCCTTACCTGGGTCTATGTACCAGGGGTCGAGTTCTGGTGGCATTTCAATATACGTGGAAGGCATAGAGGCACAGTTGGACTCCACCAGTTCCCCCTGGATACTATAAGGGCTGATGGGGCTGCTGCCACTGCGCCGGAAGATGGTTTTCAAGGGCACAATGCTGTTGAATTTTACCCCTGAGAGGCAGCCTATGAAGCCTGGTGTGTTGTATCTCTGTATCTCTGGATCGATCACACCCGTCTCTGAACCATGGAAGACAATATGAACAGAAAGTTAAACAGGCATCAGTTCCTTCTTCCCTGCTATTTCCCATTCAAGGCTGCTCCAGTACAAATGGGTGTTCCCTAATAAGAGCCTTTACGTAGGATGTACTTTTTTAAAGAGTTTCTCGCCATGAGGCTATGAAGAAAAGCTTAGGATTGCAACGCCTGGTAGAGGAAGGGAATCAGCTTTTTAGAACAGGAGCTCTTTGTACCTACCCTGGAAAGCAACAGGAGAATGTGTTACACAAGTTATATATGTACATACAAAATACATGCTTTGCATAATTTATTCGGCTCCAAGTCTGGAAAAAACATTTTAGTGCAAGTTCTGTTCCATTCATGTACAGTCCAAACTGCTGGGTTTCCATACTTGCCTAGTGCAAACAAGCTCAGCAATAAAGGGGCGGAAGGAAAGGGAAGGTCATGTTGAGACCAGGGCAATGTGTTTCTTAAAAGATGGGCATGATGCTGCAATGTATCCACACCCCCTTCAAGGAATTCTCTTGTTCAGTGCTCCACAGAAGGTGGAACAGGAGGTAAGGTGGTTCTTTTTCCAAATATTGCTTTTCTTTTGAAAGTAGCATTCAGCTTCCACCTGAACCAAGATGTGATTCTACCTGCTTTCCTCCCATCTCGTACTTCTTCAGCAGAACTGACCCTTCATACTCCCAATGTTCACCAAACTCCAACCTTGTATACATTGAGAACACAATTCTTCAGTTAGTTACCCTGGCTCTTTGTCCACTATGGAGAGAAATGTAAAGGCTTGCCAGTCTCCTTGCAGTTCACATCATATAACCGGCATATGATGTAGCAGGACTTCAATTTGCAAGGCAAGCAAAAGCACCTACAAGTGGGGTGTAACTATTTCAGCAGTTTTTGCCAGAGCCAAGCCAGGCTGTAACCTGGTTGAAACCATCCACATTCATCTGGCATCATCAGCGAGATGTCTGAGCCAGAGATGACTGCTTCTTCAAGTAATGCAATTCTATCCTGCACACTGCAATATGCATACTGCATACTGGCTCACCTCTGGTAAACCAACCTGCCAATTGCCTGTATGTGTGATACACAGAGGTCATGGAGAAGCTTTAAAGGCAAGTGGCTTACCTGTCACTGCCATTCTTTGAATGGTGATGTGTACATTTATGCAACTTGCCCTCCATGCCCACTTCAGTGTTGATGTCAACTTCAGTGCTCATTACTGAGTTTGCTTCTGGTGCTGATGTCGGTACCTTTTTCTCCATTTTGAGGCCACAAGCAACAGTTTTAGATAACAGGGAATAGGTGGAACATGCTACAGGCATGCACATTAGAGGAGAGTTTCCACCTAAAATCCTCAGCTACAGAATTTTTCCAAAATGAGGCTCCACATAGGCCAGAGACCATGTGTGTGAATGCACAGAGAACCACTAGAAAAACTACAGTTAAATCTAAAAAAACCTATTATCACACATCTGGAAATGTCTCCCTTTTTCGTTTTCTGCTTGCAGCTCACATCTTCTAATCCTAATCCCCTTTCTCTGTTCCAAAGCACTGTACCCTATTGAGGGTTTGTACACACCAACTGCCTCACTGTTACTGCCCTCCATTTAGTTTTAGTTACTCCTTTAGTTACTGTTTCCAAATGACACCTTTATGTCTCAGCTGCTCACAACCATAGACTTAACTAACAGACTCACCCATTCTGCCTGACCTCTGAGTTCCTTTAGAGCCTTTCCCAACTGCCACAAACTTTCTGTAAGCTCACACATCCTTGTCAAGCTTCCACCCGTAACAACCTGAATTCACTGTTCGAGTGGATGATGGATGTGCAAGAACAGAATGGAAAGAAGGGAAAAGATGCTGGCACACTGTACAAGAATGAATCCAGAGACAGAAAAATGGGAGAAGCAAGTCACATCAACGAGTCTGAGGACAAAGAAAATTTGCAAAGAAGCAGTGAAGTAGTGCCAAAAAGATCAGGAAGAAAATACAGAACATCCAAGAAAATGGAAACATGGCAAAAGGTAGAAAGAACAAGCAGGGCCTATTCCTCTTCCTTACCCATGAAACGGCCAAGATAGAGTGCCTTGGGAGAATCAAGTCTGCTGTCCACGAAGAGGGAAAACTGATGTTCCATGACAGGGTAATAGTCCAACTAAAGGGAGAGAGAAGAGGAGGAAGAAGAACAGGAAGAAGAGCAGGAAGAAGTCACACTGTGGACTTGATCCAGGTTCCAATGAAGATTTGGAGGCATTCATCCATTCCTGCTTGAGACCTACCATCCACAAGGCAGAAAGCTCCAGGCTGCTCTCTTTCCCCTCTTCCCTTTTTATCAAGCCTTCCCAACACACACAAAAGCCACAGTTACCTGTGTGTACAGAGTCCGATTCACACGAGTGATGTTGATGGTGTGTGGTTGCCCATCAACCACTGAACGGGTGCTCAGGGCCAAGATATACGGGAGGGTGCCTAGTTGGTAACGTAGCTGCAGAGTGCCTGCAAGGGAAGCATCGACAAGGAGGACTGTGAGATCTTTTATATGTTCTACTGTCAATCAATTCAATTGGGTGACCCAAACTGTTCACATTATGCCATGTACAGCCTGGACTGGGTGTATTATATCGTCAGTCCCTTCCCCAGCAATCCTTAGCTTTGATTTTGCCTTTTCCACCACTGTCTCAAATGACATTCCAGCTGAGGTATCCCACATGACCACAAGATGCCCTTCCTGTTTCAGATGCTTTGAATGAAGTTAAGATTTCAATCCCGAGTGAGCATGACTTAATTAATTAACTTAATTAATGATGAATGATTTAATCACACTGGACCCTATTTGTCACCTTGTGTCTACTTGGTGGCTTGGTAAAATCTTACTGAAGCTCTGCCATCCTGAACAATTTTATTAATAAAATTTTCATATCTGGTTACCTCACTGTTCATCTCTTTCTCTTAATTATATATGAAGTTAAATAGCACTGATCCCAGTACAGATCTTCGGAGGACTCCAATGTGGGAGATTATTTTCAGCTCACAGGACTGAAACAAGACTGCCATCTTGAAATCAGCACATATGCTAAACAGATATTGCCCCTTTCCTGTGTCTGTAGTGTACTTACAACCAGAAAAATAAAGATTTTGAATATTATTTAGCTACTATTCCTGCCCCTTAGCAACTGGCCTTTAACCCTGCATTTCAGATACCCATTTCTTTATGGAAAACCAATGCAAAGAACCTTTTCCTTGGCTGTTTTCCTGCCCTTAAGTATTTCAGACAAATTGTGAGAAAAGCCTTCAACATTTTAAATGCTTCTCAAATTCTCATTCACCTTATTGCCAAACTGCTTTTAAAATAGCCTTATTTGGACAAGACTTCTACTTTTTAAAAACGTTTTTGACATAATTACTTAACCACAATGACATCCTCTTAGACTTGATGGATCTTTTTCCAAATTTATTGCTTTGCTACATAAATTCCTATGAGTTTTCATCCTGCTACTAATCTCTTTAAAGAGGATACAACTTCCAGTCAGAAAGCAGGATTTGTTTCTTTGAACTCTTTTTATACTGTCTGGTCTATTTCTTTTGTACTAAATGTTGGTCTTTCCCACTTAGATTAGACATTTTCCCCTGGCCAATTTCAGAATCGTAACGTGTGAATCTTCTTCCCAAATACATTGCACTGGGTACTTGATATATCACAACAGATAGGATGCTTCCTACATCATGAAAGGTCTGGTGTAGAGTTTCATGTCAATTCCAGTTTGAGTCTTTTCACATGAAAAAAATGCTTTACAGGGAAACCCAACTTTTGTTAAGCAGATTTGGACAGACAGGCTGACTTTTACTTTGGATCAGTCTGCAGGTCCCAATGATAACTTTCTGGCATTCCCTGCTTTTCATGCTAAATACGATTTGCCATCTATAGCTGTATGGCAAGATGCACAGATGAGAAATCTGTTAGAATCTATGTTTGGCCCTCTTGTTTTATAGCTCCAGAGCCCTTTCTGTTATTAGAAGCAGATTACGGCTGAACAGATACTCCCCTCTCCCATTACTATCCCATCCTCCTTTGCATTGTACTGGCCTTCCTCTGCCATGCCTTTAGCTATAGCACAGCACATGGGAGCCCTTTCCCACCTCACCAATGCTTGGCCCATCATACCAAGACCGGGCTGAGCCAACGTCCCATAAAAACTCCAAGGGCAGTTCCAGGGTGTCTGGGTATTATTTAAAACTGTGCAAATCAGGTTGAATGCCTGAAACTTTGCCAATGTACAACCCAGAAAGGCTACACATCTGCAGAGAAAGAGGCTAGAGCTGGGGCGCAAGCACAAAATGAGGATACCCGCAGGCATGCTCACCATCCTCACGGATCAAAATGGCCATGTAATCACGCACAAAGGTGCTGACGTAAAGCAGGACGGCAGGGGCTGATCTGGTGCGAAAACTGAGCCCCACTTCCTCCCCAGTCAGGTTGTAGCCAGGGAGTGGCTGAAGTGGTTGATGGACTATGTTGGCGAATTCCTGTACCACAAACATGGGCATTGTCATGATGTCAAAGCGCACCAAAGTGCCTTCCTTGAAGTAGGCACCAATATCTGCAAAAGGACAAGAAAATATGGCCGTGAATCAGAGTCCAAGGAAGAACACTGTTTTCTTGTTCTGTCTCTCTTTGCCCTGCCACACCCCGCAAACTGGCATGCGACCCCAGCCCTCCTCCCCTTGGCTTCTCTCTCACCATGATTGCAGAAAGGTCCTTCAAAAGCAGAGACAGAGCAGTTGCAGGTGTAGTGGCTATAGTGTTCCAGGCAGATGCCATAGTTCTGGCATGGTACCAAGGGGTTCTGGCAGTGCCCCGTGCAGTTCACAAGCACCCCCTCCGTTTCATTGGCCTTCCCCTCCAAATTGAGGGTCACTCCATTCATGTGCAAGCCCCGCAAGCAACCCAAGAAGGGACGCAGGTAGTATTCAGCAGAACCTAGGAAGAAAGAAATGGCTCCATTTATGAGCATAGCAGACAAAGGTCCACACAGCTAGCAGTCTGTTTCCAACAGTGATCAGACAAGTACTTCAGGAGAGTCCTTCATTTAAACCTGGAGTGTTTCATTATGGCTACTGTCCCTAAACCTTCCATCTAATTCTGTTAGGGGCTGCAGAGCAAAGTAGCTCCCACTAGTCACTTGACAGAGTTGACAACCTGGTTCACTTTGCCAGTACTTGTGGAGATGATACTTGTGGATCTACTTGTTAATTAAAAGCAGAAACAACAAATTTGCAGCTTCTGTGTTCCACTTATTCCCATAATTCCTGGGTTAAAGTACTCAGGAATTGTCAGTCTTGCATCAGTTTAAAATGTATCTGCACTGAATTCATGGAGTCATGGAGTAAATGAGCACAATTTGAGTTGTTCTTTTTTATTATTTCTAACCATAAAGAAATACATGAGGTCCCTGGCCCACTTGGGTTTTTTCTGCACTGATATGTACTACGAGTATATTAATTAATATGGCATATCATTCAGAAGTAGTTAATATCAGTAAAATTGGTAAGATTTGTATCTCAGGAGGAGCCACTAACATGTTTATCTTTTTCTGTGTTTAGCATGACTTCATGGAGTCTCAGGGGACTGCAGTTATTTCTAGGGATGCCAAAATGGCCTTATAGAACATTCACTGAAGTTAGAATCATAGAATCTGGAAATTATTGAATCACAGAAGAGCAAAGATGGCCATGGGGTCCAAAATCCCACTCAGTGCAGAACCATAAACCATTCCTCTCAGATGGCTATCCAGTTGCATCTTAAATGCCTCTAGCGTGGGAGAGCCGTAATCTCCTTAGGTAGTTGGTTCCACTGCTGTACTCTAACAGTTTTTCCTGATGTTCCGCTGGAACTGGCTTCCTGTAATGTGAACCTGTTATTCCGTGTCCTGCACTCTAAGGTGATCCAAACGAGATCCTGCCTTTCCTCTGTGTGACCACCTTTCAAGTACTTGAAGAGTGCTGTCATATCTCCCCTCAGCCTTCTCTTCTCTATTATTATTATTATTATTATTATTATTATTATTATTATTATTATTATTATAACATTTCTATGCCGCCCCTTGCCGAAGCCTCGGGGCGGCTTACAACACAATAAAATACATTGAAATACAATAGAACATAATAAATTACCACTAAATACAAAAATACAAAAAATATAAAAAATGATAACCATGCCCAGTTCTTTCAATCTCTCCGCATAGGGCTTTGTTTCCAGTCTCTGGATCAACCTTGCTGCCCTCCTCTGAACTTTTTCCAGTTGGTCTCCATCCTTCCTAAACTACGGTACACAGAACTAGTCATAGTACTCTGGATGAGGCCTAGCCAGTATTGAGTAAAGGAGAACTAGCACTTCACATGATTTGGAAGTGAGTCTTCTATTCATGTCCTTTTTGCAGCCACATCATATTGTTGATTCATACACATCTGGTGCCCAGAACTGAACATAGTAAACAAGATGGGGCCTAACTACTGCCAAACAGAGGGGAACTCATTACTTCTATTAATGCAGCCTGAAATAGCATTTGCCTTTTTGGCAGCCACATCACATTGTTGACTCATACTCAGCTTGTGTTCTACAACAATTCCAAGATCCTTATTGCTTATAGTATTGTTGAGTCAAATATTCTCTCCATCATGTAGCTGTGCATTTGGTTTCTTTTTCCTGGCTGCAGAACTTGGCATTTGTCCCTACTGATTTTCATTCTGTTATTTTCAGCCCAGCACTCCAACCTGTCAAGATTACCTTGAATTTTGTTCTGTCTTCCAGGGATTTAGCTATCCCACACAATTTTGTGTCATCTGCAAATCTGAGAAGCATTTCCTGCACTTCCACAATGAAGTCATTAATAAACATGTTGAAGACAACTGATCCCAGGACTAAACACTGTGATACCCCACTTGTTACCTCTCCCCAGTCTGAAAAGGTGCCATTGATAAGCGCTTTTTAAGTCCGATTCTGTAGTCAGGTACAGACCCACCTGTTGTTCCAGCTAATACACTTTTCATGAGTGTGCTAAGCACAATATCATGGGGCACTATGACAAAGCTTTGCTGAAGTCAAGATATATTACGTCTATAGCAGTCCTCCACCAGGGAAGTTGCCCAATCAAAAAATGAGATTAGATTAATCAGGTGGGATATGTTCTTAGCAAATCCATGTTGGCTTCTAGTAATGGCAGCACTGTTTTCAAGGAGTTTGCAGCCTGACTGCTTTATCATCTACTCCAGAATTTTCTCAGGGATTGCAGTCAGATTGATTGGTCCGTTGTTCCCAGGTTCTTCTTTTTTCCCCTTTTTGAATATAGGGACAATGTTAGCCCTTTTCCAGTCATGTGGCACATCTCCTGTCACCCAGGATTTCTCAAAGATAATAGATAGTGTTTCTGAGAGTTCTTCCACCAGCTCCTTAATGAATCTAGGATGAAGTTCATCTGGCCATGGAGATTTGAACTCGTTCAACCCAATTAGATGTTGAGCTTCCTTCCTGTTCTTTCAGTTTGTATTTCCCCTTCAGCAGGATGGTCTTCTTTTAGGACAAGACTGGGACAAAGTAGAAATTGAGCACTTCTGCCTTTTCTTTATTTGTTTTCATTTTTCTATCACAATGAGTAGTCACACTGCATTTCTTTCCTATGGAAGTATCTGAAGAAGTATTTCAACAACCTCAATTCATTCCTAGCTTCAGCTTATCTGATGCCATCCCTGCAGTTCCATGATACCTGCTTGTACCTGCCTTTGGAACCTAACCTTCCATCCACTTCTTATATATATTTTTTCTTTTTTTGGACAGATCATCTCTAAGCTTTTTATGAAGCCAGGTAGGTTTCTTCTGTTGTCTTCTACCATTTTCCTTATTGGAATTGTCTCTTTGGAATGTCTTTTTAAAAACATTCTCACCCATCTTGGACTCCTTTTCTTGTTAGAGTCACTTTCCATAGGACTTAATTTATCATTGCTCTGATTTCATTAAAATCAGCTTTCCTAAAATCCAGGGCAAGTGTTTGGCTACACTTGGCTTGGTTACTTCCCCCTGTGTTCCCATTACTGTTACTAGGTCTTTCCTGTTGGTTACAATCAAATCAAGAAGAGCCATTCCTCTACTTCCTTCTTCCATTTTCTGTAGGTGAAAGTGATCAGCAACACATGTTAGGAATCTCTTGCAGGGAATGTGTTTGGCAGTATTTGTTTCTCAACAGATATTGGGGAAATTGAAGTCCCCCACAACCACAACATCATGACTCCTTGAAATAGTGGCAATTTGCTTTTCAAAAATTTTATCCTTCTCTTCTCCTTGACTGGGTGGTTGGCAATAGGGTTGACTGTGTTCGTTTTATTCCTTGCTCCATATTATATCAAATGCTCTGAAAGGGGCTACCAAGCTCATCTTTCTGTAGTTCTGTGCAGAGATATATAACATAGAGTGCAACTTTACCCCCCTTTCTGTTCCTTCTATTCTTCTTGAATAAATTATATCCTTCAATTGCTGAATTTCAGTCTCAGCCATCATGAGAAATTTGTTTTCCCTGAATTTTTTTAAAAATAGGTCAACATTTTATGTTCAACTCCACAAACTACAGTCAAGACCAAAAGGTTTTACCCAGACTATTTTAGACTTGGGAGAAATACTAGATAAAGATATCCATTTTCACCACTGGAATTTTATTTATGGTAAGAATCCCTGTCATGTGCTATTAGACAAAACAGTAGCATTCATATATTTGTATATGACCATTTAGAACTTAAAATTATTCTTTATGGTGAACTTTTAGTTTTTATGTCAAAATACCAGTCAACAGTTCCATCTTTGATGCAACTGATTAATCCTTTGGCAGTATCTCAGGCTATTTAATTAAATGGCCAAAGTCTGAAATGATACCTCATTTCTCATAGTATATTAATTAGTTCTTTGGAAATTTTGATGGTGCCTTGATTTTATTATTTGAGAACAAGATACAGACAGATGACCAGTTTTTAAATACACTTGGTAAGGTTAAGGTTAATACACTTAATAGGAATACTATACCCATGACTATATAAGTTTTATTCAAATTCCTATTTATAATTGGAAACTGTTTTAAAAAAATTAGCACTCTGTTTTGCAAACTTTGGTGGGGGTGGTTTCCTCCCTCAAAGTGCTTTCAAAGGGAAGCAACTTTCAACAAACAAGGATGGGTCCAGCTTTCCATATCTTGCATTATATCATAAGCTACTCTGCTTAGTGGAATCCTTATGCTTGGGCCAAATAGATAGCATACTAAAATGGAGAGGGTGCTTCCTATAATCACAGAAGGCAGACAGGGGTGTTTTGTTATAGCTCAGCAATTACTGTTTGACCCATTTTTTCATGTCAAAATGACTATGGAGAAATCCAGATCTAAAAATTCACGAGAAAATGTTCATGTGGCAGTCTTAAACAGATAGGTTGATTATTACCTTAAATTATTCAGTGAGTACAGATTAATGTTTGTCATTTTTTTATTTTTCATTCCAAATACAACTTGTCTGCTTCAGCAGAATGGTGATACTTGCAGCTGCAACTCTGGTTAGAATTTAAGTTTGGCCCTTTCACTTTTATAGCATCAAAGACTCTTTCTGCAATTGGAAGTGTTAGGCTCAGCAGTTATAGCAACCCATGATTCATATTTACAAATAAAGTCATAAGGAGGAATGGCACATGGAATTAGATATCCTGTTTGGCCAATTCAATGGAACACTGTGTCAGAAAGGTCTATGCGTTGTAGGTTATATCTTATTTAGCATAAACTTCTGTTTTGTGTTTACTGAATGCCTTTTTAATAAGGGTTTGTCTAAGCTAACTGCTGAAGGTATAAACACATGTTCTTCTCAATGCATAGAAGTTATTAAAAGGACAGTGCAAGTGGATTGTCCACACTCTTGACAGCAAATACACTGTTAACATTACAACACTGGAAAGAGAAATGCCCAGATCCTATAGCACAATGGATTCAGGATCTAACAACACATTAAATATTTGAATGGGTGCTATCTGGTCCACCTAACTGCTGCTATTGTTATCTGTGTTGCTATTTCACACACATATAGTAAGCGATTTAAGAAAAAAGTGAGGTTCTTTTATATGTTTCTATTGTTTGTTTTGATGAAATTTACATAAATAAAATTGCCATTTGTTGATCAGTCAAATTTGCACACTATCTTGAAGTCTCTTTTGCAGACAAGGTAGCATATAAATGTCAGTAATGATAAAATACAATAATAATAGTATACTAACAATTTAAAGAGATTGCTTTGGAGCTCTTCATATTCTGCTTATATTGAATAGGTTTGGTGCCTTGTACATAGCTGGCTACAACACTGCTAACCACTGATTTACAAATAAATGGGATAGCACCAGTTGCATTGCTTACGCCGTGAAGCAAAGGAAAAAGTTGGGAGTTAGAAAGACAGAAGAGCAGTTTTCTGAGAGAATTCTACAAATTAGGTTTGCTTGTTTTTCAAAAGGAACACCCACTACTTGGGTGTTTAGGTCTATTGCCAAATTGGACTAACATCTTGAAATGTTTTGCATATCAATAAGTAAATCATAGGAACTTGACTATTTTGAGCTTATGCACACCCCAGACCCCACTATCCCTCTTTCCCATGAAGACACACACCAGCCAGCTCACCCTCACTCACCCACGTAGAGTGGTTTAGTAAGGTTCATGTGGATGAAACTCTGAGGTGGGGCTGCTCGTACCACCCATGGCATCCGGTCAACACGCAGCCGAGCTAGTTTGACATTGATCTCTGCCTTCACCTCATGCCACTCGTTGTCATTGAAGGGCATCTCTGAGTGCACGGTCAAATTCTCATCACCATTTCCAATGTTGTAAGCAAAGACCAAGTCCTGGGAAGCTGGAAGGCAATGAAAGAACAGGGGTGTCATTGGACCATCCCACAGCATCCTTGCCAGCCACAAATCTTTCTAAGGCAGAGGACTCCAATGCTCGGGACACGTGGGTACAGAAGAGAATTTGATAAACTGCTGCAGATGCCACTACAAAGTGGCTTCATGTGGATAGGGCTATTTATTTATTTAACAAATTTGTGTGCCATCCATTACTTTCGTCTCTGGACAACTTACAACATTAGTCACAGAATGGCTGCTACGGGGAACCTAGCTGGTCAAAAGTGAGCTAAAGAGGTGGTGCAAAAAGACAAGCAGTGAGGGCAGGGCATGTGAAGGAGGGATAGCAAGGCAAAAGTTAGAGTGGAGAAAAAGAGCACAGATACAGGCTAGGAAGGGAGAGAAAGAAGGTAACCAGAGGTGGAGCTGGGAGAAAAATGACAAGGCAAGGGGCTGGAGGGGGGAAAGTAGCAACCCTAGGCTAAAGACTAGAAATGGGAAGAGAGACGTCACAGGGGAAAGGTCTTTGTAGATGTGACTTTGTTTTCTTTGTTGCCTGCCAATAACTAATCTGCAGCAAGTGCAAGAAAAGTCAAGCACTCTATTTTTTTCAAGGGTTTTATTCAAGGGGGTGGGGAACATGATGGGCACCACTGCAGGCTCCATGGCACCTGTGGCTGCTGCTCTGGGGACTCCTGATCTGGAGGAAGGTCTCTGCTCCTTCAGATACCTATGCCAAAGTTTGACCTGCTCTCAATATTGGTTGCTAAGTCATGGCAATCCAAGTTATTTTATGAGCAAAGAACAAAGCAGATTTTTCACTAGAGTCACAAACTGCTCTGGCTCCTCCTCCTCCTGGCAAAGGGGGCTTGCACAGGATGGAAATGCACTGATGTCTATTCTGCTTTGACACAGTGGGGGCAGAGGAGTTCTCTTCACTGCCATCACTGCCAGAGTAGAGGTTTTAATAAGTCATTTAGTCCAATTCATCACAGATTTTCTCAAGTGGATGCCCATCCCTAAGCACAGGAAACAATTTGGATCCATCAGCTACAGAGGGCAGACCATTTTATTGGATTCTCCACCTTGCAGAAACCCATTTTGACAGTCAGTCAAAGTAAAGAGTAAAGTACCACCAGTAAATTGATGGTGGTTCTATTGCTCTTTGTCACCTAACCCCAAGGAAGCAGTTGAAACACTTGAATGTTGCCTGGGCTCAGTTATGCTCTGGATAAGGGTGAACAAGGTGAGGCCAAACCCAGACAGGACAAAGAGGTCAATAGTTAGGCTAACTCAGAAAATGGAATTTAACCTGATTTGGAAGAGGATGTGCTCCCCTTAAAGGATCATAGCTTGTCAGTAGTCTGCAATCCTACCCAGTCCCTGGATCTTCAGTTGCAATAGTGGCATGGGATGCCCTTGTACAATTCTGCTTGACAAGCCAGCCATGACCTTTCCTGCATGCCTTGGTTTTATCACATTTAGATTACTACGATGGTTTCTATGTTAAGCTACCCCTGAAGAGCATCTGGAAGTTACACTGGCTGCATATGACAGCTAGGCTGCTAACCAATTCATGGTATTGGAACCATATTACATCTGTCTTAATGTACTAATTCCTAGTTGCTTTCGAGGTTCATTTCAAGGTATGGGTTTCAACATGGTGAAGCGTAGGACCTGGCTATTCAACTGACCACCTATCTTGTTATAAACCTGCTTAGGTATTAAGAAAATACCTGCAGAAAAAGCCCTTAGTGAGGCCACCATTCCCATCTAAAACTTGTTTGTTAAGCACATGTGAAAAGGTATTTTTCTTTGTTATCCCCAAACTGTGGAATATACTCTCTCAAGCACTATGAGTAGCTCATAGAAAGGATGTGAAAGCACATTTTCAATTTATGTTCTAGGACATAATCCTGTGCATGTCAGACACACTGGCTGGGAAGTATAGGATGTTTTTCTATCTAAACATGCTTTAGATTATCATCTCAGTATTCTAATGTTTTACTATTCTTAACATCCTTCTTTTTACTATTTTAAAGTTGCATTGTTTGAAACAGCTGTGCACGTCCGTGATGGCTTTTTTGCAAATAAGGCAGTATGTTTAAGTTAACAACAATGCCAGGTCAAATAGCAGCTGAGGTGGAGGTTCATTTCATTGGGAAAGGGCTCCCCTTTCCTTAGACACACAAAAGCCTTGGTAGTGATATCAAAATATATGAGAAATGATTAAAAACCTCCATCATTTTGCTTAGCTTGGCCTTAAACTTTCAAGTTTCACAACCCACCTTGGTTAGTTCCAGAAAAATGGTATAGAAGTACAATAAGTCAAATAAATTTAAGAATGTTTTCTAACAGAACCTGCCATGTTTCTCAATATTTTCTTGTTCTTAATGATTTTATTTGGTTTTGCTGCAAACAATTTTTCAGAAGCTGGAAAGAAATAGTGGAAAGGAATGGGGTTAAAGGGCAACAATTTTCCAAAGATTATATAAATTACACTTCTCCAACTTGGTACCCTCCAGAGCTGTTGGACTACAACTCCCACAATCCCCCAACAAACATTATACCTTCCCCAACCTAGAAGACACCCAGCTGAGGAAGGATGTTTTAAATGCTAGCTCTCCTTTTTGTTTATGCTTTGAACAGCATTGCTACTTGTCACAAAACATTGGGATCATTTAAACTGCAAATCTAAAAAAATATTGAACTCACAGGTTCTGTTACATTGCTCCCACCCCCTTGAAACCTGAATTCCATACTGTTGAGTTCCACACGGATGTAGTTCCTTGGGCCCACATTTTCTAGAAAAGTGCCTGATGGGGCAGAAGTCTTGAAGAAGAAGCTGATGTCGAGGCTGTAGTTAACCTGGAAGGTGGGAAAGAGCAAGGCCGTTCCCCTGATGAAGGACACTGTATTCCAGGAGTTGCCTGCAAACCATAAGAAGGGTATTCTCAGAAAGTCTGTGCCTCCGATTCTCATATCTCATCACCCCTCAGAGGCTCCCCAGTCAGCCTGGCAGGCCCAGGAGGGAATGACGAAGGCATCCTCACCCCACCTGGTCTACTACTCACGGTCTCCATAGCAACGCAGGGGACCCACATAGAACTGGGCCTCTGAGCCAGTGCGGTTGGTGTCACTCACTACAACTTGTGTGACTGGAAGATGGTCTACAAAATTCAGCAGCCCCTTATCTGCCCGCCTGAAATAGAGAGGGGGCATTGTTAAAATGTATTCCCTGGGAATATCCAGAGTTCCATCCATCACCACCCATGCCCTTCCATAAGGAAGGGGGCAGAGGACCACTGCTCACCACATGGCATGGTCAGCGTCACAGTTGCAGAAGAAACGTGGGTCAGCACAGTTCTTATCCATGCCACAAGCACAGCGCCCCAGGCCTGGTGGGGAGCCTCCCCAGTAATAATGGCGCTCTGCATTTCGGCCCATCCAGAAGCTCAAAGGCATTCCAGCTGAGAGAGAACAAGATGGCATGTAAATCTGGACCAACGTTCCACATCCATATTTCTCATTCATTTTTCAGAACTTGGAAGAGGAACAGAAAGAAAAATACTCCAAGTGAATGCCTAGCTTATGAAGGGACTGTAAGTGTGAGAGATTTGGATTATAGGACCACAGGCTATACTTCCACTGCTGGCAAGGGACGAATTGCACCCCAAAAGAACTGGGAAGTATGTGTTTGCCCACAGCATTAAGAAATTCATCAGTGGGGCTTTAAACCGAATCCTACAGGGGAGAGAGAAGTAACAGTGGACACAGAGGTATGGACAACAGCAGAGGGAGGCGCTCTAATTGCACCTAATAATAGTCTTCCAAAAATGCAGAAAGACAGCAAAACTATAAAGCACATGGTCTACAGTGTGTATACACTATTTCTCAAAGTATGGGAAATGAATATTATAAACCTGGACTCTTAATACAGGTGGGTGAATTGAATTCAGCAACTGAAGGCTATAACTTGTGGAAGAAGAACAGAAGGAGCAGAAAGGGAGGACAAGTTGTGCTGTATTTTTACATATCTCTACACAGAAATACAGAAGGGTGAGCTTATTAGCCCCATCGAGAGTTAATGGTGGAGTGGTGGGCGAGGAAGAATGCCTTTGCTTGCACAGGGTATCACGATTCCTTGCATGTGCCCCACACACTCTGCGCACTCACCAGGAAGGCAGAGTCTGTGTGCAAAGCCTCCCAGTGTCCAGGATGCCCAAACCAGGGAATCCACTGGATTTCCCACACAAAACAGATTCCCTGAACATCTCTAGGCGCAAGTTACAGGAAGCCAGATACCAGCTGAGCATCAGGAAAACTTCCTGATTGTTTATAGAGAAATACAAGCTGGAGCCAATTCCTGAGGGAGGCCATGGGCTCTCCCACACCGGAGGCATTCAAGCTGCAGCTGCTCAGCAATATGTTAGGGTTCCTTTAATTTGGAGTCCTGCATTGAGCGGAGGGTTGCACCTGATGGCCCTTCCAAATCTACTGTGATTGCAGTGGATGCCAAGTTGTTTCCAGGCTACCCACAAGTAGGCATGAAAAAATGCCCAGTCCTGGTATCCAGCAAGTGGCATTCAGTGGCATCCTACATACCTTGATCAACTGCTGCTGATAGACCAGCCTTCCATAAACGTTTATCCACTTTCTCCATACCACAGTTTTGTGAACTCTGACCATGTTATCCCTTCCCCACAAGAAACTTTAGCCTTTCCTGGCAGAGAGGAGGCCACAACTGCTCAGTCGTTTTAGCTGCCTTATTTTACTTTATGTTATTTTGCACATTTCCTAGTTGTTCAACATTGTTACAGAGACAGGACAGCAAAAACTGCAATTGTATTCCAGATGAAGCCACATCATACATGAAGGCATTATGATATGGGCATTTTATTTTCAGTTCTTTTCTTATTTGTATCTAAAAAGGAATTTGCCTCTCACCTTCCCTGCCTCTACATTCTGAGATGATGACCTTACTGAACTATCTGTTACAATTTCAACATCTCTATCCAGGTTAGATCCCATCTGCCTAAGGCAGAGAGGGTGAAAGTTTTGTGATTACTCTGCACAAGAACAGAATTGGATTGTGGAGGTAAAATTTGGTATCCTGAGAATTCCAGTATGTGTATTTCCAAGTTTCTTGTCCACATGGATGCAAACACAAGCCTGAGCATGTGTGAGAGATGCCCAGTGACATTTCGAAAACTACAGTGCGGTTCAGTAAGATTTCCAGGGCTGAATGGGTGGGCCTTCAGATATTCTTGGACTGTAACTCCTATTTGGAGTGCAACTCCTATCAGGCATAGCCAACATACCCTATGTGAGGGATAATGTGTTCAACAGACGGCCATGTATTCCCATCCCTTACATGGACCCTGCCTTCTTCCAGCAGAAAAGAACAAACTGTGGAAAACAAGAAAGCATCTGCTATGTAGCTGCAACATTTGTTCAGGCCGCTGTTCATGGCCCAGAATGTGTGTGCTTGCCCATTTGGTGGAGGATGGCCATGATCAAGTTCAGCCAGACACACTCACTCTGGGTGTTGAGCAGGCGGGAGAAGTAACAGTAGAACTCAATTTGTTGCTCGCAGTACTCGGAGGCATTTGCCAGAGCTGACACCTCACCCCACGATGCATTCCAGTAGTCAACCGTGCCCAGGAAAGGCCTTTCAGGACTGTAGCCTGCCACTTTTGTGAGCCAATGCCGATTGTGCCGAACAATGGTCCATGCACGGTCCTCTGCAAGGCAAAGGGAAGTCAAATTTAGCACAAGTTCAAGCTGACCTTCTCTGTGCTCTGGGTGCAACTGTTTGTGTGTGTGCGCGCACACACCTTGAATCCAAACAACTAATTGAATGGCAACTAATGCTCCTTACAAGAGGGAAGACCTGGATCACCTTGATATCCCCATACCTCGAATGTCGCAATACACAGTAAAAGGTTTCAAGGGCCCACTGCCATCTGGGTCAATGGTGTAGTTGCCAGACCTTTTGCCACTGAGTCGATAGGCTTCACAACTTTCTTTGTAAACAGCTGCGAAAGGAAAGAAGTAGTGAGTGCTGAGGCATGCAGACCAACACTCTAAGTCCACTTGTCCCACTCTTCCCCCTGCTCACGAGTATGGCAGGTCTCCCCCTTGTAACCCGTCAAGTCACAGATGCACGTGAAGTCATCCCACGACTGGATGCAACGACTGCCATGTTCGCACATATTGGGGGTACACCTGGTACAGTAGGAAAAGCCAGTTAGTACGAGAGATGAGGATTCCCCACCCCAACATGGATCCTAACAAAGGGTTTCATCTTTTTCTCACTGGGAATACTGCACCTCTGGACAGCACTACGCAAATACACAGCTGGCATTCCTTGGAAGTGGGAACTGCCATGTTGGATCTGTCTAGCCCAGCACTTCTGGCAAGGCAGAAGCCTGAGATAAGCCGCAAGCAGGAGACAGTGGCATGACTTGCCTCCTGCTGAGAGTCTTTGATGTGTAGCAACATGAGACATACAAATAAGATCCACAAGGAATTGTTGCAGTGTGGAGTGCTTCAGTGCAGTGGTCCAGCCACCACAGCCTCTTGCACCCTTCCTGGCCTTACTTTCCATTTCTATTAACCCTGCCTGCCCACTCCCAGCACCTCCACTACCAAGACACCCGGCTTTCTGTGGCCACAGAGCACGACCATCATCCTCTTTGATCACTTTTGCCAATGGTCTTTGCATAAAATTAATACCAGCCCCATTAAAATACCAAAAGGTACATTTTGTATGTCAAATATAAAACTCTGAAAATCTAAAACATCATTAATCTAGATATATCAAATAAAACCAAGCAAGGTCATCTCCTTTGCAACTGATAATACTTGTTATGTGGCATCCAATCGTCTCTGACTTATGGATACCCCGTGAATGAAAGCCTCCAAAATGTCCATGACAGTCCTGCTCAGCTCCTCTATGTTCAAGGCTGTGGCTTCCTTTATGGATTCCGGGTGAGCCAGTGCCAGAGTGGTACAGTGGCTAAGAGTGTGGGACTGGGGAACCTGGAGCTCTGGGTGCTAGTCCCGGCTCAGCCATGGAGCCAACTGGGTGACTTTGGACCATTCACAGACTCTCAGCCCAACCTACCTCACAGGGATATTGTGGGGATACGAATAAGAGCAGCAGGAGGAGAATGATGTAAGCTGCCTTGAGTTCTTTGTAAGAAAAAACGGAGGATATAACTCTAATAATAATAATAATAATAATAATAATAATAATAATAATAATAATAATAAATCTCATATTTGGCCTTTTCTTCTACCTTCGACTTTTCCTAGCATGATTGTCTTCTCCAGTGAGTCTTACCTTAGAATCATAGAATAGTAGGGTTTGAAGGGGCCTATAAGGCCAATGCTCAATGCAGAACCCCAAGTTAAAGCTTAGAAGCACACCTTCCCATGATGTGTCCATAGCTTGATTGCCACAGTTTTGTCATTTTGGCTTTCAAGGAAAGCTCTGGCTTGATTGATCTAGAATTCATTTGTTTGTCTTTTTTGTCAGTCCAGGGTATTTGCAAAGCTCCCTTCTAACACCATGAGTCAAACATATCCATTCTCTTCCCGTCAGCTTTCTTCACTGCCCAGCTTTCACACCCATACATTGTGATGGGAATACATAACGATGTATGGATGATCTTGGCCTTGGTTTCCATGATGATCCTTTCTAGTTCTTTCATTGCTGCCCTTCCAAGTCTGAGCCTCCTTAGAATTTCTTGCCTACAGTCTCTGTTTAAAAGGATGACTGAGCCAAGGTATGCGATACCTTCCACATTTCAATTTCTTCATTGTTAATGGTGACAGAGAAAATAGTGTCACCTTCACCCTGGCAAAAACAGGATTGAAGAGAAAACTTGTGTGTATGTAGCTGTAAGAGAACTGCTCCTAAATAAGAGAGAACAAGAAGGAATCAGGCTAAGGATGAGTCTTTGAACTGCATCTTGAAAGGGTCATCCTTAGATAATGTATGAAAAGAAGGAGGAAAATGGCCAGATTTGTAAAGAGAGGAGGCCCATGAGAAAGTTGTCAAGAGATGATGTAAACTATAAAAGCTTTATTCTAACTGTGTCCTGTGCAGTCCCAGCGTGTTCTGCCTAGACATGGTTTGTCTTTTTGTGCCTTATTCTTCATAAATATTGCTGACTTAGTTTTCCCCATCTAAGGTAATTGGACCTGTTTTTTGCAAGATCGGACAACAGTCAAGTTCTGTAACATAGAAACAGAGCAATTCAGAAGGGTCCTCCAGGGGCATCTAATCTGACCCCCGGCTCTAGCCGGCTTTGCTCATGACATGCCTATCATGTCCAGCCTATCCCTGAACACCCTCACCGATGGGCCTCAACGACCTCCCGTGGAATCCCATTCCATACCCCGGGGTCCTGACTGCCAGGAAGTGCTTCCTGGCATCCAAATGGAACCTTGGCTCCCTGAGCTTTGCTCCATTGGAGCGCGTCCTGCCTTCCTCTGCAGGGGAGAACAGGTCTCTATCCACCTCCATGTGACACCCCCTTACATATGTTGCCAACAGATCCCCTCGGAGTCTCCTCTTCTCCAGGCCGAAAAGACCCAGTTCCCTCAGTCTCGCCTCATATGGCTTTCCCTGCAATCTGGTCACCATCCTTGTGGCCCTACGCTGCTCTGACTCTAACCTGGCTATATCCTTCCTGTAACAAGGGGGTCAGAACTGAGCACAATACTCCAGTTGCGGGCACACCAGAGTCAGATAGAGTGGCATTAATACCTCTCTCGATCTAGAAGCCACACTTCTGGCTATGCAACCAAAGGTGGCGTTTGCCCTCTTGACCACTGCATCACACTGCTGATTCAAGTTTAGCCTGCAGTCAACCAGTACCCCAAGGTCCCTTTCACAAGTGCTGCTCTCCAGTCACTTGTCCCCAACCTGAACTTATGACACCCATTCCTATGCCCCAAGTGCAAGACTTTGCACTTATCCACACTGAACGCCATCCTGTTGTCTCCTGCCCACTTCCATAGTCTGCCCAGATCCTTTAGGATCTGGAATACCTGCTCCTCAGTTGTGGTCACTGTCGCTTTAGTATTGTCTGTGAATTTGATCAGCAGACTGTTCACCCCTTCTTCCATCCTGTACAGAACACCATTCTGTAATTTTACAGAATGCTCTCCTGTAATTTTTCTGTGGTCATAATTTTTGTTTGCTCAGTATTCAGCTGCAGTTCTGCTTTTTGTGTTTTCTTCTTTCACTTTCATCAGGAGTCATTTCAAGTCATTGCTGCTTTCTGTCAGTAAGATGGTGTCATCTACCTGTCTTATGATATTGATGTGTCTTCCACCAATTTTCATTCCTTCCTTTGATTCTAATCCATATTTACTTATGTGATGTTCTGCATACAGATTGAATAGAAAGGAAGATAAAAGACACCCTTGTCTGATGCCTTTGCCTAAAGGAGACCATTCTGTTTCTTCATACTTTGTTCTACTCTGTTCACAGTACAGATTATGTATCAGGAGAAGGTGAAGCACCCCTATTTCTTCCAGCACCACCCATAACTTCTTGTGATCCACACAGTCAAAGGCTTTGCTGTAGTCTATAAAGCACAGACTGATCTTCTTTGGAAATTCTCTGGTGTGCTCCAGTAGCCAATGTATATTTGCAATGTAATGTGTGCCTCCAGTGCCTCAGTCTTTTTGGCTGTAGCAGCAGTGGCAATTTAAAGAGACTTGCTCTGCTCACCCTTCTGTAGTCAAACAGAGCAGGTTCCTTTGCACTGTCGCTAATGGTGCCATTGTTTTGTCTGCGGCAGCAAGCTGAATCCAGCCACTCTTTCTCACTTCCACAGGAAGACATGCTGAGCCAATAAACCCCTCTACAAGTCATGGTTTATAAGCTGCATTTCTAGCATTTTGGGAGAACATAGATTTTCTCCTACCACTTTCCATACAGTTCAAAAGTCTGCAAGTCTCTCCCATGTTCAGTCACTGTCATACTTTTCCAATCTCAGTGTCCAAGCTGGTTCAAACTTTCTTCTTTCACAATCATTTTAAGTGAACTGCTCTTTCCTTCTCAATTACGTTGAGATTGGGGTGATCAGAACCACATTAATATTGTAAATGTGGGAACAGGATTAATCAGTAAGCGGACACTATGGTATGCGTTTACTTATTTTGCACTTCACTCCTAAAGAATATTAGTAGGCACAAGACAGAAGGTGCACCTTCAAGTTCAGCATTAAACATTTTTCAACCATCCTGGAAGACATGTTGAGAGTGAAACTGGAAAGCGGAATATAAAGGTCCTCTCTGCTCCCTTTGCACAAGTACTGCCCAGGAACGCAACATTTATTCTTGCCTTCTTTCCACAGAATCCAAAGTAGTGTACAGAGAGGTCCCTTGACTGCATCCCAATGCAGGCACTGACAAGAGCCAGGCCTGCTTTGCCTCAGCAAGGACACCATGTGCTCTTCAGACCATTCCCAACCATACGACTACTAGAGGCTTATCTCAAGAGCATATTGGAAGGATTCAAGATTCCCCCCTCCCCCAACACACACACACACATTTCTTGCCAGTCCTGCTTAGCCAGAAATACAACTTGCACAAGCATACCTATCAGTGACGCCGCACACATTGAAGTACACCTCAAAGTACTTGCCAAGCCGATGCTGGCGAACCATGTCTAACTCAATGGGCTGCCGATCTACACTGACCATCTGCATGCACCCATGGAAGGCTGTCTGATTGGAGGCACAGCCAGTACGTGATGCTGGCTTGGGGCAGCCTAGGATATACAAGACATAATTTCAGCAATGTGTGAGCAAAAAGAGAGACAGCATGAGAAAAAAAATGCAGTGGTTACACCTGATGGATTTGATCCAGGAATGCTCAGAGCAGTCACACTGAAGCTGCACAGATTAAGCTAATCAAGACTCACAGAAGTGCTGTGGATTTCAGTGACAAAGTCTAGAACCATCCCAGTAAAACAAAAAGAATGATCTGAAGAGAGAGAAATGTCATCCACCTGAATGACTGAGACCTGTTCTGACAAAATTCTTAATTAATTATCTACTAATTAGCATAATGGTCTGAGATAATTACCTTCCTGGGATATTCATCACCAGGGGATGCTGCTTTCCAACTTCAGAACAGAGCAGCCAACAGCACAAAAGCAATCTACTGAAAGAAGGGAGGATGTCTTTACTGGTGAGTGCACCAGTAAAGACTCAAACCTCATGAGTAATAGAAATGATTTCATGGAAGTCACAACCCAGGTAAGCCAAGTTAAAAAGATGATCCAAGAGCTAATGGAACACCTTTCAAAAGAGACAAAGTGGCTTACTGCCAAATTTAACTAAAAAAGAGCTAGTGCCTTGCCTTATGGCCTTGGTATCAAGGAACTTTCTCTGGACACAGCTATATGCTTCAAAATAAGGTATGTTCTAGGGAACACCGATTACCACTCCAACCTCTTGAAACTGAATGGAAATAAAATCAATAACATTTGCCTGATGAACAAGTCCAGATCTTCAGCTTGATTGTTCAAACAGTGGGATCAGGAATCCACATTGGAGCTGTGCTCCAGTTTTCTACTGAAAACTATTGACTACCTGCCTTCTATTTTGAAGTAAGCAAAACTCTGGAAAGCAAAAAGCAGCCAGGGAAAAAGAACTTTCAGCAGAAAACCAGTGCAGGGTCCACTTTGGAACAGGTTCCCACTACATATAAATAAAAATCAATTCTTTTGAAACTGGTGACACCAATCATTCTTGCTCCTTAGTTGCACAGTTCTAGTCACAATCCTCCTTTCTACCACTCTAAGATTTACCCAGGCATTGCTCATGGTGATCCAGAGAGGCCAATTCCCTCTTAATACCATGCCTACCAGTTGAGTTGTGCCATGTTGTGGCAAACACAGAGCTCTGCTGCTCTTCAGGGCTGGAAGCCTCCCACCTTCAGCTCCTCAACTGCCTCATCGTCCATTCCCAAAACTACTGCATCTATGTGCCAAGCCTTTCCTGGACTGACAGAGCCTGCTGTCAGTTGTGAATCACCCATTTTTCTATCTTCTTCACAGTTTCACCACAATCTCTCCTCAAGGAGGTACCTACCTCCAAAGAAGTACTGGTTCCCTGTGCGCAGCTGAATGTCTCGGTCAACACGGAAGCTGGCATCATTCTGGTCATCGATGGTGATGACAGCCGAGGTTTCACGCACCATCAAGGACACGGAATGCCAGAAGCCATCATTAAGACGGTATCCTGAAGATGGAGGGATGGAAGATACTTAGCACAGGTTATGACTGGACTGGCAATGAACAATCTTCCCTCACCACCCGAGAGGTTTCCCATCCCATTTCAGCCACCAATCTCAAGACCCAAAAACACTGTGGGTGAAACCTTTGCTCTCTGGAGCACTTCAATTCTTCTGAGGATGAAAGGAAGGAGGAGAAGAGGAGGAAGAGAGGGCTTTTAATGACATGCTAGAATAAATGTTCCCTATACAGCCTCTAGACCATTGATTTTTCAGTTTTACTTCAGAGCCATTGTAAAAAAATCATACTTAATTTTATTCTGAGAGAATAAAACAGCAACATGCAGAATCTACCAAAATCCAAGCTGAAAAATGCTTCCACTTGGATGATGGTTGCATTTTACTCCAAGCATGGTGAACTTTGAAAAATGCACATAATTGGACCTCTATTGGCCTGATTCACTTAAAGCTAATGTAAAATTATAGATGCATACCCAGGGTTGGATACAGACTTGCTTATGCTTAAGGAAAGAACCGCTTAAATAAAGTGACTTAAATTAATCAGGACTAACATGTCCCACTAGTTTCAATGGTGCCATATTGAACAGTTTAGCTAGGAATAAGCTAAAGAGCTCAGGAACAGATTGTCCAACAGTCTTTAACATACAGCTTTAGACCAGCTGCAGACAGAAGTAACAAACCCTAGAATTCCACAGGCAGGAAAGCCAGCCCTGAGACTGGACCGATCAAGCAACTTGCCCTTCCTCATTATACTGCCTTGTTTTTGGCAAAGCAAAGATAAAGCTCTGAGCATTATTAAAGATTTATCAATCTCCCTACATACTGAAATATTTAACAAGTCTACATCTGCCATGCAAGACCTTCTCACTGCCATTGTTGAAGCTGTTCCTTCAGTTAGCACAGGGCTATTTGGCAGTCGGCTGCCTCTTTCACCAGAATGAAGCGGAATGGGAACTTACAAAGCCTCAGCAAATAGGAGAAGATTTTGGCCACTTACAGTATGGTCTCATCCTTTCCACCAAACACATGCCTTATTGCAGGTTTGCCCAACCTTATGACTCCTGCCAGATCCAGACAGCATGGCCAATTCGCAGGAGGGTGGGCATTGTAGTCCAACACTTCTGGACTACAGATCTAGGTTGATGGTGGCTGCCCTACTGCATACCCACCATAAAGAAAACTTTCAAAAGTTTCTATTAGCCCAGAACCATCAATGGTGATCTATGCATCCCAGGAAGCTCAGATTTGTGTGCAAACCATCTAACATTAGAACAACATCTTTGGCTAATGTCCTTTAGATCAGTGGATATGATGGCAAATGAGTTCCGCTACAATGAATGATAAAGTTTGGCAATCAGTCTGGCACCATTCTGCTCCATTTGGTGCGGCAGAAAAATGGGAGCTGAGTACATACATGTCTCATTGGTGGAATCTGTGTCTATGCATGAGCAAAAGATGATTGGGGATTGTCAGGATGATGACTTTTGTAAATGAACAGAGACCATCTGGACCTTAAACTCTGGGAGAGAAATAAGACATCTGGCAGGAGTTGTCTGGATCTACTACAAATCTGACACATTTCAGGTTTCTATACACTAGTGGTTGGGATGCTTTCAATAACAGTGGTTGGATGCTCCGATGTAAAAGCAGAGTTGTCTTAAAGAAAGATTTTATTAAAAAATTAAAACAGCATTTGGTTTTATGCAGGCTACTGGAAGTTCACTTTAAAATAAATTCCAAATCAACTTACTGTAATTAGTGCTTTCACATAAATGGTTGGAGATGATTAGCTAACATGGTTTAAGTACAAACACCCTCTAAAAGTTGGGTAAATGCAAGCATGTGAAAGAAAGACATGAAATATGTTCCCTTGCTTCCCTCATGGAGGAGACCCACGTTGCTTGATTACTGGTAGCAGAGGGAGAGAGGAAGGAGGAGGAGGAGGAAACTATCCTGTCACAGGACACCAAGGGGATGAGCTGCACAACCAGCTGGGGAGGCAATGCATTCCCTAATGCTCTCTAGGGCCTGGAAGGCTGCAGAATTGTTCCTTTTATCCAACAGCAACTACTGATGAACTTTAATTCCCTCTGCATCACATACCTATCCCATGCCCAACTGACCTGAACCTTGGGCCCTATTTAAAAGACCAGTTCCCCTTTAGAACTGGAACTACTAAAAGTCCAATTTATGTTCATGTCCTTTCTTCGATCTATAGCAGATTTAAAGGTGTAACCAAAAAAAAAAAAAATCAGGTCCCACCATCACCTATTTAGAAATAACCAATTATTCATCTGTTATTTGCATTATTATTAGCATACCTAGCTTGCTAAGTCTGCACCTTCACACAGAAAGGCAGAGATCTTTTCACAATACTTACATCCAGTAACATCTTTTAAAAAGAAAGAAAGAACAAAAGAATGAAAGAGAAGTTACATAAATGCCTTCGCTTCCTTCCAAGCCCCAGTTTACAGTCAAGCAGGGCAGTACCTAACAGGGGGATCCCCCTTTTTGTTCCTCCCAGCCTAAGAGAGGAGCATGTTTGTTCTGTTCCTTAAATTTTAGGCCAGCGTTTTCATTTTCTTGCCATAGCACAGCTACTACCCAGTCTGGGGTCTTTTCTCCATGATGAAAGTCCAGGACCGAAACTCAGCTCAAAGAAAGCCTGGTTTTTAATATCCTAAAGCAACTTTGTTGAAATGTTCTTGGGACATGAAACTGCAGGAATTCAGTGCCATCTAAAATTCAGCTGACTACCACATGACCTTACACCCTGGCAAGGGTGAAACACTGCTGCAAATTGTGCAGGAAGAGGAGAAAAATCACCCTCACCCAACCCAAAAGTGACAGGGTGATACTCTCAGGCACTCCCTTGCCAAGCTAAAGTTGTGACTAATAATTGTGAGGTGTCAGCTGGTTTCCAAGGATCACATAAGGTCACCTCCACTGTCAGAGAGTCAGGGACTGCCTCCACACCCATCCGTCTCTTCATTCCAGAAGCACTGGCCACCCAACCCTCTGAGTGTGGGTCAGCTGGCAGGCAGCATGTCCATCTACCTGGAGGACACCACTCAGTTCCAGCTGGCCAGGAAGCAGGGCATCAGCTTCATTATTCTCCTCCAGGAAGAAGCCAATGGGAGGGCAGCAGTGAGAATACAGCTCTTCACCACTGGCCATACATTGCCACAAAACCCAGTTGAAAAAGAGAAGCAGCACAGCCAAAAAAGCTTCCCTCCACGGATGAGAGCTACAGCTTGCTGGACTGGAAGCTTCAGAGTAAGTTCCACCTTGCAACCCCCTATGGGCCACTAAATCCTGTAATGCAAGCTGCAGGCAAAGAAGCCAGCCAGCCTCAACTCATTCCATATTCCAACCCTCTTCCTTCTCCAAGCCTACCAAAACTACCCCTCAGGACAGCACTTAATGCACTCCTGAGTTACACTGAAAAGAGTCCTGTCAAAGTTAACACCTTCCTCTGCTCCTACCTGCTGCAAACTCCAGCTTCTTGGTTTTAACTTTGCTTTTTGGCTGAGCAATGGTGACATTAACTTGACCATCACTCAGCACCATCTCAAGCCAGCCCAGGTCATCAGCAAAGGAAGTGTACATGAGCAGCCCCACAACATCCCACGAGCGGAAGCTGAAGCTGACTGCCAGTAGATTGCGCCTGGGATATCCTGGCACCTGCAAGAAGTTGTTGACCCCAGCAAATGTGAAGGGAAACAAAAGGTTGTCCCGACAGTAATAGCCCACATGGCCCTGTAACAAAGAAAGAGACAGTGAAGAGGGAATCAGGGTAAGGCAAAGCCAAATTCTGTCTGTGTACACACCAAGCTGGCCTTCCATTAAGGTGCGGCCACACAGGTTTGGTGCTCACACCATTATGGTCCATAATAGTTGGATTTGTTCTCAGGCACACAACTCTGCATGCTGAAAATCTCAGTTTTTTCTTAGAACAAAAAAATGTTACGCATCATCATGGCTATGACTATACACTTGAGAGCAGCTAGCAATGCTTGGTGAACACTCAGATATAGGTAAACCATGGGAAGGAGACCAGAAAGGATTTCCAAGGGGGTGTGATGCGCATATACATACATACATACATACATACATACATACATTCCAGTCACACAGGCACAAAGGATACTACTCGGTGAAAGTATAATTTTTTGCATCCTTCTCCACCCAAATACATGCTATCATCCTTAACTGTCCATTTTTACTCTAAAAACTGGGGCTTCCTTTATAGTATCACTTTTGTTTCAAAGACATGACAATCAAAGCTCCCTCTCCCCTTAGTAACTCTTTGTAGATCAGTTTGCTTCCAAATTTATGTGAACAGAAAAACAGGGCTGTAGAGGGTAGCACAGATAATGCCAGCAGAATCAAAGCAGAATGCAGCTGCTTCCAAACAGGGAGTGGTTGCATATTATGCCGAGTCACCCTGACAATAAGTTGCAGTGGGTTGATTGTTGGCAAAACAACCCACAATGCACATGACAGAAAATTGGGCTGACTGTGGGTTGCTGGCCCCCTTCTTCCCTCTCAGTGCTCCTGCAGGTCTCCCAGGGGACAATGTAGGAGGAGCAAGTTGCCTCCTCATTCCCTACCATGATCACAAGCCAATTTCAGTCCAGCATGGCCTTATGCCCCTTTCCCTTTTTCAGTTTCTGAAGACAGCTATATACATACCAAAGCCATTCACTGACACACCACCCTTTTTGTGAGCAAAGATCACGCACACCTTTAGTTTCTCTTGACCACTCACCTTTTGACAGCAGTCAGGAGAAAGCGAAGAAAAGAAAAACAATTTGGAGCCTCTTCTGAGCCATGTCCAGGGTTGGCACCTGCCATTCCTGGACATCAGGAAGCCCTGTAGACTTGGCCCAGGTGAGGCTTCTGGTTTTTGAGTTGCATAGAGGAGTCCACTCATGCATTTGTGGAAGTCCACCTAAAAACAATTACTTTCAAAAACTTGCACAAACTTCTTACACTGTTTTTGAAAAGAGTGACAGTCCCTCCAGTGTGCAGTGTCAGTAGCTGTGAATTTGGAGATCACTAAATGTGATTTCCAGGAAAAAGCTGGGAGAGAAGGGGGGAAAGTCATGGTGAGCACAAAAGACTTGGGATTGCGGTGGAGAGGGAAAACAAGATAGCTCCTGCTGCCGAGTCCCCGGCAATATCCATGGGGAGGGGCAAGGGGAAGGATGGGGGCAACCCACAGTGAACCTGGTCATCCGTTGAATGCACCCTGGATTGGATCACAAACAATCCATCTTGCACAGGTCAACAGGTGAGCTGTTGTGACATGCACACCTACTCAGTCACTGTGGAGTCAGCAATAACTGGAAAGGGCCCTCTAACACACCTACAAGAGACCCAGAAGTTGCCAGACATGATTATCTCCCCAATGCCAATCCAATATCACACTCATTTTCACCTCAAACCGGATAGAGGGCTTGCGGCGTCTTGCTAAATCAGTTATGTAGACCAGATTATAGGCGATGTTCTCCATGCAGCCACGGAAGTTCTGCCGATAGGCGAGACGCTGCTTCTCATGGTTCATCACTCCTCCAAAGAAGATCTGCAGAGGCCAGAAAAAGGAAAAAGCTGCTCAGCTGGAGGCCAAGTAAGCCTGTGGCTTCCCAGCACCCGAATGCAGACCATGCTCTTGTGGTATAACAGAGAGAATGTGAGGCTGTGGGGGGAAAGAAAAAGGTCTAAGTCCCACAAGGAAGAAGAATATTTTAGACTTTTATTTCAAATTCCTAGTTAAAGCACTGCAAACATAATTTCCAGCACAACTTAGAGTAGAGCTGGCCACCATTCCAGCACATCACCTCTGAGTCCAGGTCAAGCTGCTCAAACTCCCCATTGAGGCGGAACTGCAGGACCTCCCCATCGAGGCTGAAGTTGACATATTGCCGGTAGCGGTCGAGACGAAACTGGTGCCAGTGCTGGTCATCCAGGAGACTCCCCAATTTCATTGTCGTCTCCCCTCCACTAGTGTTTAGAGAGCTGTTGCCTGAGGAGTGGAGACACAGATCTACACAAAGGCGAAGGCAGGCCAGCTTTGAGACTTTTCAGTGCCCCTCCAAAAACAGACTTTGCGTTTGAACATTCATTAAACCAACCTATGATCACAGGCAGGAAGGGGCTGCACTTGTAGGCACACACAATTTTGCAAAGCAGAGAAGCAAAGCTTAGTTCCCCATCCTACAAACATACACAAATAGAGCAATAGGTCAAGAGCCTCTAAGATCTTGCAACTAAGGAAAAGGTGACAAGTGACTGGAGGAGTGTGTCAGGTACCTTTGCCTTCATATGATAGGAGTTTTTAACCGCTTGAACCAGATGAGACGAAGTCAAAGATCACCCCTTCCTCTCCTCTCCTCTCCTCTCCTCTCCTCTCCTCTCCTCTCCTCGTGACTGTACAGATAGTTTGCATGAAATTTCAGTGAATCTGATTACCATACAGGCATGTGTCTACATACATTTTTTAAGTTGGGCTGCTTGATTATTGTGAATCTTTTTGCCTGATTAATCTGATGAATATTCAGTTTAACAAATGGGAAGCATATTCCTTAATGAATGAACATCTCACTCCAACCTTTAATGCCACCCATCAAAAAGTGTGTGGGAAGGACAGAAAGGCAGCTGGACTATGTTTTTCTGCTTGAATTTAGTCACAAATGGAGAGAGTTGTTTTGGTGCAGTTACTCTTTGCAAGAATTATATGGAAGGCACACTGCCTGCAGAGTCTCCTTAATGCTGATCTATGCTGACTGATAACGAGACAGCCTAATTCTTCACTTTTGATCTAGGTAGGGTGAGAGGCACACATGCTTTGCTTTCCACTGCTGGAAAACTGAGTCTGCCTAAAAGCATAGGCCTTTCCAGTCTTCATTCCAACTAAGCCCTACAGCTTTATTACTTCTCACTGCTGAAAACAGTGTGGTTGAACATATGAAATCTACTGGTGCCAATCAAGACTGGCAAGACACACTAACACTCTTCCTCTGGGTTTTCACAAGATGGCAGTTATGACCCTCCCCATGATTACTGCCTCTCAGCTGGCCAGTGCATACTTCTTCCTCCCAGTCTCACCAAGACTCATGCTGAGAACCAGCTGGGCCTGTCGCAGCTCCACACTGATGTAGTCTCCCTGGGACCCTGCCCCGTACATTAAGATGCCTTCGCGTTCCATTGTCTTAAAGTTGAACCCAATGATGTCTTGGGTAGTACGGACAGTTTTGGTACGGAATCTGTAGGCAATGGCATCATCACCATCAAAATACAAGACGTCAGACTCTGTAGGAGAGAAATGGAATGAACAGATGAATGGCTATTGCTAGTAAAATCCCTTCTCTAAGCAACTTCCTGGCTCACCAGAACCAACATCCTTGGAATGCAGTGAGATGATGTTGATTCCAAGCTGCAGGAATGATATGGAGCTAATGAGCCAAATGAAACCGACAGCACTCTAGCCAGTTCAAAGTTTGCATGCACATGGGACCGGGCCAGTGACCAGAATGTTTCCACTTCCCTGGGCTGGTTCACACAATCAAGAAGCCCAGTTTGAATATTCAACACTTATTTATGCTTTCCTGTGTCATGAGGCAAGGCTTCTGTGGGGTAATTAAAATAACTAAAATTTTAATTTGCATGACATCAGAAACCATGGCCAGGTGCTGATTATTCAAAATGGCCACCCAGCAAACACCACAGCTCACTATGGCTTAAATAAGCTGTGACTAAGTAAAACTGGCCTCTCCCTATGTTTGCAATAAAGTTTTCAATATGCCGTCTTCTCCTAAGAATGTCTTTCACCATCCTACCAGGCCTTCTTTCCCCAACCATGCCTAGAGACGGCCCACTTGGAAACAAGTTCTCCTCCCACTGAACGTCTGATAAGTAAAAAAGAAACATAACTTTCATAACAAAAGATTGAACAATGAATTCTCCAAACAGCTTCTACAAAGAAACAAGTTTTTAGTAACTGTGTAATAATAGATGATGGTATGTATATTTTTGATGTATTGTTCAAAGCCAGCTTGGTATGAGAAAGATACCCTGCAAAGGTTTTCTCCAAATTTACTCTTTTCTTCAGAGGAACAGGAAGATCTGTAATATGTTTTCTGTCCTCCAAATTCCCAGGAATTCTCTAGCTACCTTTTGAAGAGTCATGTTAATATTCTCAGAATAATCACTTACGGTAGTAGCAGCCATAAAGACCCACTCGTAAACCAATGGTGCCATGTGGATTCCAAGCCACAGGAATGATACGGAGGTAACGAGCCAAGATGGGATAATGAAGGTCATGGAGAACCACACCACTTGCATTCACATTGCCAAAAAATGTCTACAAGAGAAAAAACATGAAGAGAAGCTATTCTGAGTGACAGCATGAAAAGCCCATGGGGGCTTTGCACAGTCCAGATTTCTGAACTAAGTGCCAAGAAGTTCAACACTGCATGTATGCCCTATCTTTCTTCCTTTTGCAAGGAACCCAAGATGGCTTATAAGATTTGCCTCTTCCTCATTTGCCCTCACAGTAACAACACAGTGAAGTAGGTTATTTTGTTTTTAATTTTGATTTTTTTTTATTTTTGATTTTTGGTTAGGCTGAGAATTTGTGACCTGCCCAAAGTCACCTAGTGAGGTTGTTGGCCAAGTGGGGACCAGAACCTCGATCACCCAAGTCCCAGTTCAACACCCTGATCAGTACCTCATACTGCTGTAGTTACATGATTTTCTGTGTAAAAAGACTGAGGTGTCATGTATTCTGGAATTTTACTTGTGTAAGTCGTCTTGAGGTTCTCGCAAAGAACAGCATACAAATGTCTTAAATAAATAAAATAAAATAAACTATCCCTGCCATCTCAAGTAGAAAGGACTTGAATAGCGGGGGTTGGGTGATGTTAGCGGCCAAGGCCTTCAAGTCCTGTGGCCAGTCAGGCTATGCAAGAGGAGACAACAGGCTCAGCACAGGCAATTTCCCTCTGTCCCCAGCCCCACTACCAGACTCTCGCATAGTTGCCAAGATGCTAGGTTTCAAAACTGGCATTCACATTTCTACAGGAAATGGAATTATAAAACTAAACCTGTTTTAGTTTGGCAACATCTATTCTGACAAGCAAAGGACAGTTCAAAGAAAAGCAAAAAGAGCCCCCCCACCCATCCTTTTACCACTCCTATCTTGGGTGTCTGAAATTTCATCAAGCAACAGCCATAGGTCTACCTTTGCAGCAGTGAAAGCGAGAAACTTGTTCTGGAATAAAATAAAAGCAGAGTTCACGCAACCTGCAACTAAGCTCAGCAGTGTGGGTGCAGACCTGACGGATGACTGTGCTCACCATGGATTATCTGCCCCCCACTTGGTCATCCACCAAGTGGCTGCACTGTTGCCTCTCCTCATTACAACTGCAAGATCATTTGCACTCGCCCCAGTCACCCTCCCTTTGTTGTGCTCTCCACAACGCTGAGCAGCGATGGCCCTTCCAACGTGTCCCCCCCGCACAACAGAGGGGCTGCCACTGCTTCACCGCTCCTTTAGCCAAGGCGGCAGCCGAACCACTTGCAAGCGATCCTCCAGCAGGTTGTTTGTGAAGTGCAAGAAATGTGCCAACAACTGGCTGTGCGAATATTTGTTCAACTAAAGAAAACTGGGTCCTGCACAAGTACAAATATGTATACTCATGGAGGTTGGAAATGGCATGGCTTAACTGGGCAACGTTCCAAGAAATGTCCACTGTCAAAGTGCATGGACACCAACCCAGAGAAGCTGCAAATAGTTAATTTTTTATTTTATTTTGCAGCCTACTAATAGCTGTCAAAAGGCGAGCTCTGAGGGAAAGCAGAGTCATGGGGAGCCTTTGCTCATGGAAAGGAGATAGCAAGTTTTCCCCCACTTCACAAAAAGGGTTCCTTACAGAATTCCTAGTGCCCCCACTCTTTCCCAAGCTTCCAGGTACTCCAGAAATAGGAAACATGTATCCCACCCCATTTTTGATAACACTTACTTTTGACAATGAAAAAGTAAGTAAAGATTTTTTTTTTAAAGCAAGGCTTCTTTCTAAAAGACAGATCTAGGCATGAATACATGGGTTGGTCTGGATTAGAAAATATGTATACGCAATATGCATATGGAATTTATCAAAAGAGAACAAAGTAAAGAACTGCCCTTTCGAGATGTCTAGGGTTCAGTGCCCACAGCTGATGTCTGTTGCACTTTGACAGCAGGAACCCCAAAAGCCATTGCCTCACCAAGGCAAGTACATACCTCAGTACTTGGACCAGAATGACTTTTCCCCCACGCAATTAATAGAAATATTTGTGACCACTGCACTGAAATCATGGAAAGGAAGCGGGTGGGAGGGGGGAGATGGGAAAGTAAGGGCGAAAGCCACGGCAAGCGCAGGAGGACTTGCTTGGGGGACACTTGAGTACTGAGGCTACGGTGGCCACTGGCAAGGCCCAGGCGGGCTCAGCAAGAGCAGCAGGGCCACTCATGGTGCGCTGGCCGAGCCACTCGCTCACCACTTCCCTGTAGCCGCTGACACCAGATGGCAAAGCAACCCGCTGTGGGCACAGCAGCCACCACAGCAAGGCTCAGGTGCTGAAAGTCAGGCTTGGCATTTCTCATGTCACTCACTGAAAACATGCATGAGGGAAGTGGTAATAGGCAATGCTCACTGCTAGAGATCAATTCACAATGCCCAGGGTAGTTTTTGGGCTTTGAGGGCCACACCTATTTTATTTGTGAAATGTTTGTATGGGTTTATGTTTTGGATTTGCATTTCGAGTTTTCTCCACACAAAGACATGTGCATTTTTCATCCAGTTTCAACTCACTCCTGAGCAGTAACAGGCTGATGCATATTGGTAGAGATGTACAGATGTTGTTAATTTACGCTTCTCAAACAGAAAACTGGTAGAAAGTTATTTATCTCATTTGCCCCCCATTCTTCCTCCAAGCTTCTCTTGGAATTTACAATGGATTAGCTCACTTTATCCTTAAAACAACCAGGCTCTGGACAGCTCAGCAACCCCCAACCCACCATAGGTAAAACAATCCCTGGTATAGCCCACAGGTTTTAAGAGTGGTTTGTTTGAGGGGGGAGGGGAGGGGAGGGGAGGGGAGCCAATATGCCAATGGCATGACAGCCAACCACACTCACCTACGGTAGGTTGTCTTCTATGTGTTCTAGGTTTATGTCTTGGCTTAATCAACCCTTGAGTATGCAAAGCTGATGTTTTTGAAATCTATTTTCTATGGAAAGTCTACAAAGTGTGTCCAGAAAGTAATGAGAATGAAGTCCCTACGCTCGAGAAGGGCTCTGGCCCAGGAGAAGCTGGCCCAGGTCACTTGGGGTGGGGTGCCAGGTATACGTTAGAACACTGCTCAGTTGCATTCCAGCCCTGTCAGAGTCAGGACACCCTGTTCAAGTGCCTCGTACTAAGAATAATGCAAGCGAGTTTGGAACAGCAGCGCACGATAAAATGTTGTGTGAAATTGGGTAAACGTGCATCAGAAACTCTGGAAATGGTGAGGAAAGCTTATGGAGAAGCGCTGTCACCTGCCCAAGTGTACGGATGGCACAAGTTGAGATTAGCTCCACTTGGATCCGTCATCACGAAACACCCAATTGTGGTGCTTTGGCTGCCAGAGAGTTTTTGGCTGAGAAACACATCATGGTGCTTCCCCATCCACCCTACAGCCCCGACTTGGCTCCTTGTGACTTTTTCATCTTCCCAAAGATGAAGAATGGTTTGAAAGGAGACCATTTTGGTAGTGTGGATAACGTCCAAAGAGCCACTACGCAGGCTCCGAACGCCATCCCACTTGAAGACTTCCAGGGATGCTATTCCAGGGAAGAACAGGAAATTCGCTGGGAGCTTTATGTATACTCACAAGGTGCATACTTTGAAGGAAACAGTGTTCAATTGTAAATTTTTTCAATAAAAGAATTTTTAAAGTACCATTCTTACTACTTTCTGGACACACCTCATACGTTGCATTACAGGCTATCCATCTGATTAGTGTTTCTACTGCTGCTAAGCCTCTAGTGCTCTGTTTGTATTGATTTTTAGTTTAATTAGATTTTTAAAATGACAGTGTTTTATTGACTCTTTATATAATTTTTATTATTGTGACCTAGCCTGAGAGCTTCATTAAGCTGAATAAAAATGTGCTATGCTCCATTAAAAAATTAAAGGGCAATCTACAGTGTTTTTTATACTTTTGGACATATTTGCATTACCTTATACTCTGCATAGGACACACATGCAGATTATCTTATGTAACAAGTGACTTTTCAATGGTGGGAATCAGTTCAAGGTTGGGCTCATGATTTACTTATACTGCCTGCACTAAAGGGCAGTAACTCCAAGAGCAGCTGGATCTGGGCAGACGTGTTCGGCCATAACATGCACACGCCTATTAAGGCCCTTCGGGGTCCCAGCCAGAACCACCCTTTCTGCTTGCTGGACGGCAGAGGCAGCCTCCTCTCTCACCCAGTTGCTCCCCCGCTGGAAATAAGGCTTCCAGTTGCTGGGATGGTCACCATAGAGGACAATGTAGCGGGTCACCCAGTTGTAGGTATTGAAGACCCCCTGAGTAGCGATGCTTTTAATGTGAGCTTTCTTTGTCAGGTCAATCTGGAGCCACGGCTGCTTGTCTTGGGGGTCGGGTGACCAGCCGCCAGCACCTGCACAAGAGAGTGTGGAGAGGACAGAATTTAATTTAATTTAATTTAATTTAATTTGAACATTTCTATGCCATCCTTTGCAACAAGGACGGCTTACAGAAGATAAAAATAACAATATTATTGACAATATAATAATATAAATATCATTAAAACATTCAACAGAGCCAGTGTGGTGTAGTGGTTAAGAGCGTGGGACTGGGACTCAGGCGATCTGGGTTCTAGTCCCCGCTCAGCCATGGAGCCAACTGGGTGACTTTGGGCCAGTCACAGACTCTCAGCCCAACCTACCTCACAGGGTTGTTGTTGTGGGGATAAGATGGAGGAGGAGAGATGATGTAAGCTGCTTTGAGCCCTTTGTAGGAAAAAGGCAGGATATAAATCGTAATATAAATATAAATATAAATATAAATATAAACAAAATAAACAACCATACATCTTTTTCATAACTAAAGAAAAAAGAGGAAAAGGGAAACGTGACTTTCCAGAAATGAAGCATACACACTGCCACCCATCACTGTAGGTCTGGGCAGGCACTTTGGGCTCTGTATGATGCCCCGGAATTACCTGACACAAGCCTACCTCACAGTCCCTGCCCTCTTTCCAGTGGCCTGTGCCCATTAGTGGACTGCGCCAACCTGGACTGTGCCAATCCTGCTGCCTGCTCCATGTTGCTTCACACCAAATGCTCATGTCATGACCACTTGATTTAAAAAAATACTTGGCTTAAAAAAAGAGAGACAATTATTGACAGGATTAACCTTCTTTCCTTCCTTCAAGGTGCTCCATACATATGGAGGATCAGTTGTTTGGAGTTTAAAGAGCATGCATGTGTCTGATTATGGGATACAGTAACGGATCAAGGGCAGGTTCCACTGCTACGGGTTTACATGAGGAAGGGCCCGTTCAGCAGCAGAGTCCTGCTGAGCTCTGCAGCAGAAGTTACCTGGCCCAGTCCTCAGCATCTCCAGGTAGAACTGGAAAAGTTCCTTTCTGAAATTCAGTGTCGGCTACACTGAGCTGGATGGACCAGGGAGCTGATTTAGTAAAAGGTCACTTCCTACATTTCTAATTGGCATGGGGCCAATTTTGGAAGACAACAGCGTTAAATGGGTCACTGGATAATGCCACTGCACTGGAGCAAATGAAGGAAGGGTCTTCCTTTCTATGCTGAGCTTACCATAAAGCCTAGCAAATGTGGCAGCACGGAAGATGCTGGATCGAGAGGATGCACCAAGATTCCAGGTATAGAGGGGGCCAATCAGTTCATCATCACAACGCCCTGAAACAGTGGGAGGAAAATTAGGATGAAACCATCATTCTGGCTAGGCCATAAACAAAGCATTTTGGCAGGGTCTCTTGCCCCAGGTGTAAGTTTGGAAGCAACAACCTTTGGCTTTGACAGGGTTGTGGGCTTTTTGGAAAAAGCAGAGCTGGAAAGCTTTCCAGAAGCTTTTCCAGTGCTCTAAATAATGTTATCTGGTTTAGCACATTTGATTCATTTTTACTCCCCAACACACACCCTCCCTCAGTAAACACACAATGTATCTTATATGTAGTATACTGAACTAAAAATGTAATCCATGTCAATTTTATGTGCAGTTTAAATATATCAGAAACTTCCCCAATAACTACAAAATATTTCAATGGAAATATTTACTCAGAGTGAAATTAAAGACACATTATAGCTTAAATGTTATACTCAAACATATTCAAAACTTCATGCAGAAGTTATTTTATTGGAATAGTTGTAAAAATGTTGTGAGCCGCCCTGAGGCTTTGTTGCGATGGGGGCGGCATAGAAATGTTTTAAATAAATAAAATAAATAAAAAATGTAAAGTTAATAACATGAGAATTATGAAACAATGCAAACTAGAAGCCATAAAGCAAGAAATGGAATAATTAAACATCGCAGTACTTCATGTGAACAAATGAAAGCAGATTGAAATGGGGCACAAAGACAATGTGTTTTACAACGGAAAATACAAACTCAAAGAAACAAAGTGGATCTTAATACAGAGGCAAGATAAGGGTAGTAAGAGTTATGATGCAAAATTTGATTGAATCATATCAACCAGATTCCTCAGAGAACCTGTCAACATAACCATCATTCAAGTCTACACTCCAACAATAGATGCTGAAGGAGAAGAAACTGAAAAACGTCATGCAGGTATCCAGGATGAAAATGATTATACACCAAACCAAGACAGACTGATAGTCATTGGTGACTGGAAGGCACTAGTAGGAAACAAAGCAAAATCAAATATTGTGAGGAAATTTGAAATAGGGGTCAGAAACAAAGCAGGATAACCACTCATAGATTTCTATGAAGCCAACCATTTCTTTATAGCAAATTAATCAGGTAGGACTGATCACACGGTCACCACCATATGGCCAACATAGAGATCAAATTGGAAGCAGAAAGCAGAAAATCTGTACTCTTGCTGCCAAAACAGCACCAGCAACAGAATACAGAAGTTACTATGCACTCTTAATATCAAATCAAAGTAAAGCTGAAAAAGACCATTAACTGAAACATTCAGCCAAAATACAATTTAAACATTTCTGAGGAATTTTACATTTACAGAAAGAACAGATTTGCATTACTGAGCTCAACTGACTATGAGCTGGAAGAACTGTAGGCTGAAACCCAAGGCATTATTAGGGGAAAATGTGGTGGGGGGGGATCAATTCTTGTAGCAAAAAGAGGGAAAAAAAAAAACCCTAGATGGATGACACAAGAAACACAATAGCTTTGGGCAGAAGAGAAGCAAAAGGTGGAAGAAATTGGGACAAAATCCTGAATGAATCCAAGATTCAGCAACTATCAAATAAAGACAAAAAGTACTGTTACAATGGGCAGCATAAAGAAATGGAAGAAAGTGACAAAAGAGGAAAAACAAACGGCCTTTTCCAAAAGATCCAAGAAATCAAAGGGAAATTTAAACCTGAATGAGGAACACTGGAAGACCAACCCTCCCACTGAGCAGGGGGTTGGACCCAATGGCCCTCCATCCACTTCCAGCTCTACTATTCTATGATTTTATGATTCTAACAGGGAAACATACTATCTGGTCAGGAGAAAATAAAGAGAAGACAGAAATTATATACAGAAGAGATAAAGAGATGGCAGACTTCAAAGCGAAATTATGAGGGAGAATCTGCAATATTAGAATGCAAAGTAAAAGCTGCTCTGAAAACACATGGAGGGAATAAAGCACCCAAAATAGATAGGATGCTGACTGAAATATTCCAAACTGCAGAGACAGAACTGGTTCAAATCCTGACAAGAATATGTCAATTAATATGCAAAACAAAACAATGACCCACAGATATTCCATAGACATTCTGATCCCCAAGAAAGGAGATGCTAAAGAGTGCAGCAACTATAGGACCATGCAGTAATTCCCCATGCAAACAAAGTGAAGTTCAAGGTTTTGCCACAAACATAGGTTTTTACGCTATATGGAGTGAGAAATGCCTGGCATTTATGCTGGACTCCAAAAAGAAGAACTTATTGCAAATATAGGCTGGCTATTGCAGTGCACTGAAGAATTTCAGAAGATTAATCTATTCTTTATAGACTCTGCGTTGATTGTCCTGATGATGAACAAGAAGGTAATGTTGGGTCAAAATATGGAGATACACAATTGCTTCCTATAATCAAACATATTAGACAAGGATGTGTTTATCTGTTCAATCTGTATGTAGAACATATCATAAGGAAAGCTGGAGTAAGACTACAGGATGAAGGAATGAAAATTGTTGGAAGCTCCATCAATATGCAGATGAGACCATATTACTGGCAGAAATCAGCAATTCACTAACTCCTAATAAAAGTGAAAGGAGAAACTACAAAAGCAAGATTGCAGATAAACTGTAAGAAAACAACAATCATGACTCCATAACTTTACTAGCAACAATAAAAACATTGAAATTCAGAGAGATTTTGCATACCATGGCTTACTCATCAATTCAGATAGAGGCTGCAGCCAAGAAATTAGAAGAAAAGACTTGGAAGGGCAGCAGTGATGGATTATCAAGTGTAAGGGTGTTTCACTGGAGAACAAGGCCAGGCTCATCCACACTATTGTGTCCCCACTTACTATCTTTGAGTGTGAAAGCTGGACAGTGAAGAAATCTGGCAGGAAGATGATTGATGCCTTTCAAACATCATGCTGGAAGAACGCTTTGCAAATACTCTGGACAGACAGAAAGATGAATGTGTAGACTCTAGATCAAATCAAGGCAGAACCTTCCCTAGAAGCAAAAATGACAAAACTGAAACTGTCCTTCTTTGGCACACATTGAGAAGACAAGGTTCCCTGCAGAAGACTATCATACTAGGGAAAGTTGAAGGCAGAAGAAGATAAGAAAGACCACATATGGCATGGATTGACTCCATAAAAGAAGTCACAGCCTTGAATTTACAAGTGCTGAGCAGGACTGTGAAGGACAGGTTATTTGGGAGAGCATTCATCCATAGGTTCGCCATAAGTTGGAGATGATTTGATGGCACTTAACAACAAGAGAGACTGTTATGCAGACTTCCTTATGATGTTTGTTTAGATTTAACAAAAACTGACTACCTCTGAAAGAACACACTTTCATTTAATTATAGCCATCCAGAAAGTGATATTTATTTCATATCAATAATTTAATTTACCTTCAGTTTTGCTCACTCTCTGACAAAAACCTGATTCAGAATAACAAGCTGAATACTGGCTTTCCCTAAAGGCCCAAGCTGAGAAATTTGACCAAGAAGGTACTATTGCGTCCATGGCCTGCTTCTAGAATCCCATGGGCAACTGGTTGGCCCTGCGTGAACAGAATGCTGGGCAGTTGGATCCTTGGTCTGAGCCAGCACGATTCTTCTTATTTTAAGTGAAACAAACAGCAATCCCAGTCCGTTTCCGTTTCCTTTCAGTTTGATATTGAAGAATCTTAGTAATAGAGTACAAATATACCATGAATATTTCTGAGCCAGAGCCGGCCAGGAACCAACTGCATTGTGCACAGGAACTTCTTTCCACTCTGCATATTAACACATTTGTGGATTTTGAGAGAGACTTGTCAAAAAACTGAAAGAAAATTCTTACCAATACGCAATTAAACAGGTACAATAGGAAATGCTCCTTGTACTTGCCAGGCTTGTAGCTTTTAAAGATGAAGGGTCTGACAGGAAAAAAAGAGATGGCAGCCCCAATTCACCATAAACATGACTTCATACACAGGGATTCCAACCCAGCTTTTAAGAGCTGAACACTCAGTGCCCTGCCATGGATGCCAAATTTGTCAGTTCTGCTCTTCCCCACAGTTTTTTAAATCTCAAACTCCTTCCAGCCTTGACGATAAGAACGCAAATTTTGATAAATTCTTATGCAAAACAAACTGAAAAAAATCTCAAACGTCCTTTCCCTATACACACACAGATTGGAATTCTGCTCCTCTGTTATTACTTCACAATTAAACCTAGCTCTAGGGCTGAACCCTCAGCACCCTCAAGACTGGCTGCCTGTTCTCCTCAGCACCCACAAGCGATGCCCATCCTCACGTTGCCCATCTAAGATTTCAGATGCCCAGTGTCCTTAGAAGTTTAAGGTCAAGACCAAGCAGAAGGGTGCACAGTGAAAGGAAGGGGCCCCTTCTGTCTCCCAGAGATGACAAGCCACGTTCTCGCCATGCAGTTTGCATCCTTGGCTTGCCTACTCTAGACCGGAAAGTCTGCTTAGGAGAAGTTTAGGAGCAGCACTATCAGAAGCTCCCTCCCTCTTTTCCTCCAGATTTTTTTCTCCTTTCTACTGCAGAGTAGCTGACACGCCCTTGCAGACTCAGCTCCTGCCATATCTGCTAGATAGCAAGCTGGGAAAACCTTCTTGCATCCCTATTAGACTATGAGACAGCAGAGGGAAGAGGCAACAGACGCTGCTTGGGTGGGGTCAGAGGACAACACCCTTGGGTCTCTAAGCATGGAATGACGAATGAGAGCAGATCAAGGGCAAACGCAGGGGGCACCCCCCTCCCCATGCTCAACTCATTAGAGCAGTGGCTTCCCATAGCAGAGAACTTAGAACGCACCTTTAACTAATCAACGACAAATACAGAATGAAGCCACAAAGTTGCAGTCAGTAGAAGTACCTGCAAAGGTACCCTAACTGTAGGCAGATGCAGAAGGAATACTCCCCATTTTGTGGAGAGCGGAAAAAGGGGTTCCACCAGTGTTGCAAGACAGGCCAAGGCGGTGTTTGTTTTGTCAGCACTATCACGCAGCGCACTCTAAAAACGGAAGAAGCGGGGTGGGAGAACATTCAGTCCCTGGCTTCTGAGAGTTTGAAGGGGGTCTGAAGACACATCCTTCTCGGGCTTCATCAACAGGGCTTGCCGCTGGCATTCTGGGGAAGCCTCTCGCGCCACACACACACACACACACACACACACACACACACGACGACGACTGGCCAGGACTTCCACCTTACTCCGATTGCTGGGCCTGGAGATGCAGATACTCCTGCCTTTCCCCGGACTGGGAGAAATCCTAGACCTCCTCCCCGGGAACCCAACGTGGGTCCTGCTTCCCTCCAGGAGCGTAACGACCAAGACAGGAGCGCTGCTGTCCCCACGTCCCCAGGGAGCCCCCACGAACGCGGCAACCGCACGCACGGCCGCTACCGGGATGCAAGACCCCAGGCCGGTCGCCCTTCCCAAATGCTCTGCGCTCATCCCTGCAGCCGCGCGCGGATGGCGAGGCCCATCGCTCCTCTCCCACCGTGGCCTTTTTTCCTTCCCGCCCGGCCCGATCCACGCCGCTGCCGCCGCTACTCCTGCCGCAATGCAGCTGAGACCGCCGCACCTCGTCCGGGACACTCACGCGTGAACCAGCCGCAGCTGCGGAGCTGCAGGAGCGCGGCGAAGACGAGCAGCCACCCCAGCGCACGGCCGCCCATGCTGGAGCCGCAGTGCTGACTGGCGGGCTCAGCGCGCTCTGCCGCCCAGCCGCTTGGCCATCGCTGAGCCTGCGCCGCCGCCGCCGCCGCCTGCCGCCTGCCGCACGGAGCAGCCAGAAGCGCGCCTCCGATGCGGCGGCGCGCCTGCGTGCCCCCAGTTCGGGGAGCCCTCCAACCTCTCCTCCGGGAAGCGCTTGCCTCCGTCTCCCTCCCGCCGCGCTCTCCCGCAGGTCAGTGAGGAGCGGAGCGGCTGAAAAGCACTCTGCTAAGGTTCAGAAGCACTCTCTTTGCGCGAAGATAAAGCCAAGCACCTGCTCCTGACTCATCTATCTATTGGTTTAGTTCTTGATGCGTGCTCTTAGTGTTTATTTCGTTCCCTGCCTTTCTTCCACAGGACTAAAGGGAAAGCACAGGGCGTAGAGAAAGCATTCAGATGCCCTGGAATGCTACCACTGAAAATATGTGGCCCACCTCTGGAGTACCCACCTTTAGTACTACCAGTTACTCCAGCACACTTTACTCCAGGCACCAGGCTTGTCCAATGGTGTAGAGGTAATTTTTTAAGAGTAGGTGCTGGTTGTGATTTTGCTGTAAGGTTTCTGTGCTTCACCCTTCCTTGTTCTGGTGTGTGAATTAATTTACAGTGTTTTTTTTCCATAGTTCTCTGCTTCCAAGAAGTTTCCAAGTGGCAGCCGCAGCTGCTCCAGCTGATGTATTCTGCTGCCCTGTTTGCCCAGCAAAGGCTGAGTTGCAGCAGGCAAAGCACAAACCAGCTGCCTGCACTCCCTGCCCTCCCTCCTGGCAAGTGCTGCCCAGTGCCACCCCCATGCCTGCCCCATCACCCTGATGCCACCTCTTCTCCCAGGATCCCTGCATGAAGCCCGACTCGTGAGATGCTCTTGCCTCCCCATGCTGCCAGCCGCACCTCTGGCGCCCTGCCGATGTGCCCGCCATTTGGAAGAAATGTGTCGGCTCATGGGTAGTTACCACGTGAATGTGTGATCCCAGGACCCAAGGTGAGATACCAAGCCATGGTTTAGCGGCATGCGTGAATACAGCCAATGTCTGTTCTAAGGTTTCGCATTTCCACATTGCTTGTTGTTATGCATGAAGCCAGTTGCAATGTTTTAATATGGTTTTCCTGTTTGTTTCCTTGTTTCCAGCAAGTGTGGCAGTTGCTCCAGCTGCTTTTTTCCGCTTCCCTGTTCACCTACCTACTGCTAAGTGGCTAGCACACAGGTCCTGATTGGCTGGCCCACACTCCCTGGCTTCCCTCCCCACCCAGGCCTTCCAGTCCCTGAGAGAGGCAGGGGCACGGGGGCAGCACATAAGCACTTGCGCAAGGCAAGCCCTTGGGAGGCGACTACGTGGCCCAGCAGCACGAGGCAGGCAGGGGGCATCTGGATGAGTCAGCAAGGCGGCAGCCGGGGGGAGCTAGGCAGTGTCATAGCGGTGGGGTGGCTGGACATCCGCGGGTACATGCCAGAAGGGAAGACAGGGTGCGCCTCCAGCAGCAGCCACCATGTGGGCAGCTGTGCATGGTGTGCCACCTGGCACCTGGATCTGTGCTGGAGCAGTGCATGGGCAACACATGGCACCTTGTCACCAGAGCAAGCATCTTACTCTTTATCCCGCCCTCTGGCTTACTGCAACCCTGTTCCCAGCAATCTAGGGGACTCTCCGCAAGCCCCGCCCCCAGCCGACAGCCTGCTAGGAGAGTTTCCCAAGCAGATGGCCAGACAGGCATCCTTGAAAGTGTTCCCAGCAGGATGCACTCCCCAGTCCCTGGCACCACAGCCCGGGTGTGCCAGGCTGCTAGGGGGAGGCAGCCCCAGCAGCTAATGTGAGTTCTATGCAGAGTGGAGAACTTCGGGCACCTGGGGTGACGTGCCGTGCGTCTGCCTTGGGCATGGAACGTAGTGGCAGCTGGGAGTGCTGTTCTGTTGCTCCATAGAGCAGCAGGAAAAAAGCAGCAGCTGACTGAGAACAACTGTGTGGCCCTGCATGATTGGCTGGACATGCTGACCCAGGGGTGGGCGATTAATTTTCCTATGGGGCCACATGAGACACTTTGACAGTTGTTAAGGGCCAGACCAATACACTTACAGCTCTGCTCGATATATATCTCTATAAAAACAGTAAATGAAACATTTCAATGATACAATGAAAATGTGGAGCACAGAACAACACTATTTAATGAATATTCACAAAAACATTAACATTACATGAAAAGCAATAAATTCAATTTAATTTAGCAGATCCTTCAAAATAAAAGCAGTGCAGTTGTATTGCTTGCATCTATATTAGGACAATATATATTTGCATTGACTTTTAATTTGCCAGTGACCTCATGCAGGCCAGTCAGGGCCAGCCATCAGGCCGGATGTGGCCCGCGGGCCGTACAATGCCCAGGTCTGAACTAACCAGATATTCCTGCTCTTTCCAATCAGTGAAACAGCTGCTGATTGAAAAGGGGTGGAATGTGATGAGTCATGCCAAGTGTCAACAACTGAATTTTCTTTTTGTTTCACTGATTTTGACTTTTTGGGGGATAGATTTTATTTTTTTCTTTTACATGGTGAGGTTTTAGTTTCTGGGGGTTTTTTTCCACTTTAAGGGTGTATGGCACATTATGAAATGTATTGTGTCCATATATTTGGCAATACTCTGTAAAATATACTTTTTGTAACAAGGACAAGATTTGTATGTGTGCAAGAGCAAGCAAATATTCATAGTGATTCCTTGTGATTACTTGGAATGTCAAGAGACTGAAGAATCCTACTCAACAGAAGGAAGTGCTTTCTGAATTAAAGGAATATGGAATTGATGTACATTTTATTACAAGAAATGCATATGAAGGCAGCTGATACTTCAGCCAGATTTAAGAGGGTCATGATCTTAATCCATAAATTTTTGTTTCTAACACCAAGTCCAATGTCTGGGCTACATGGAGCTTTAAGAAAAACAGCTGCTGAGTGAGGGATTTTGCATTTTGAACCTCAGCATCATTTTTCCACATAATAACCACTGAGTCGGGTTTTGCTTACTGTTTACCTATGCAAACAAGAAAGGAAAAATGGCAACAGCAGAGTCAGAGACTTCACATGGTCATACGCACCACCACCAGGCACACTCCACTGGGAATGGACATGAATGGACACATGGGGCTTATGATAAAAGCAGGAAGGACAGAAAAAAATAAGGGCTGTGCTGGCCCTGGTGTTGGCAGCAGCTGAGAAATCAGACAGACTCTGTCTGTTGTGACAGATGTGTGGCTGGGTTGCAATCAACCAGCAGATTAAGCCTTGGGGGAGTTTAGAGGCTTCTGTCTCATTACCAGCGAAAGAGTGAAAGCTACGCAGAACTGATTCTGTTTCGGGATCCAGTTATTTTTACTCCCACTGAGGCTGGAGGAGGACTACTGCTGAGAAGCCGCAGGGCGCTCCACCCATCGCAAGGTCATCTACTGCCCTGAAACATGAAGGGGTGGGGGGAAATTAATGACATCCAACCTTAATCGTGTTTCCGAGCAAGAGACGTGGGACTCACACAGCCCAGCTGAGAGGAAGTCTGGAAACAGTTGTGGAATGAAGGGTGCACAGCCTCCTTCCGTGCCACAGGCAGAATCACGGGCAGTGGGATCAAAGGCTGCTTCATGTTACAGAGAAGAGGGACACCCCTTGTGGACTGGGCGAGTGGAGCTCCATTCTGGGCTAGCACCTTGTGAATGCTGGGTGCTCAGGAACCTGGTCACATGGCCATGACAGAGCGGAATAGAATCTGTGGAGCAAAGCCCCAGGAATCTGACACATTCCCACCCTATTCATTGGCACTTTTTTCACCTAAAAGAAATAAGCATTATAACTCTGAAATGGCCACATTTAATTTTTGTATTTTGCAGCTAGCATCTATTGATCATTACTAATGAGCGCGTTCTCTCTCTCTCTCTCTCTCTCTCTCTCTCTCTCTCTCTCTCTCTCTCTCTCTCTCCCTCTCTCTCCCTCTCCCTCTCCCTCTCCCTCTCCCTCTCCCTCTCTCTCTCTCTCTCTGGGATGTGTGTGTGTGTGTGTGTGTGTGTGTGTGTGTGTGTGAAGACTAACCCTTGCACAGAAGTACAGTAAGATGAGCCTGGCAGCCCCATTAAGAGCATCTGGGTAAAAATTAATGTATCAAGAAAAAAAATGCAATAGATGGAGTCTACTATTGACCAGCCAATCAAGGAGAATCATAGAATAATAGAATATTAGAGCTGGAGGGGGCCAGAAGGTCCACCCACTGCTCAGCATGGGACTCCAAATTAATCCAACACTCTCAGATAGCTGTCAGCAACATCTTAGATGCCTCCAGTGTGGGAGAGCCCACAACCTTCCTAGGTAAATGGTTCCATTGTTGTACTGCTCTAACATTTCTTCCTGATGTTCAGCTGGAAGTTGGCCTCTGGTAACATGAGCCTGTTATTCTGTGTCCTGCACTTGGGATGGTCTAGAAGATACAGTGGTACCTTGGCTCACGAACTTAATCCATTCCAGGACTCTGGTCGTGATCCGAATTGGTCATGACCCAAGTCAAATTTCCCCATAAGGTTCAATGTAAATACGGTTAATCTGTTCTGTAAATATTCTTTTTTAATCACAAAAATTTGAAACAAAGTAACAACAAAGTACAGTACAGTAGAGAACACTAACCTAGGTGCGGGGGGAGGTTATTGTTTGAAAGGAAAGTCCAAACCATAATCGTGCAATAGTGATTATGCTGGTGGTGGGGAGACAGGTACAATCACGGGCATGCTCGTGAGGGGGGAGATGGGTGCGATTGTGGTCGTCACCCAATGCGGAGTTTGTGAATGAGGCAATTTTTCTCTGAAATTTCTGTTAACAATCTGATTTGGTCATGAACTGAAGCATTCATGAGCTGAGGTACCACTGTATTCTGGACTTCTCTATGTGACAGCTTTTCAAGTACTTCAATAGTGCTGTTATATCTCCCTTCAATCTTCTTTT